CCCTTAGGACCGCAAAACATGATACAACGGGCAAAACTCCTGCTGAGTTATTTTTAGGCAGAAAGATTATAACGCCGTTAGATAAATTATTTTATGTGCAACAAAGAGCCCCAGAATTTAAAATGGGTGATATAGAAAAACTAATTAAAGAAGCAAAAAGAATACTGAAGTAGCACAGAGAAAACAAAAGCTGTATTATGACTTGAAACGACGGGGAGTAACTTATAAAGTAGGGGATGAAGTGTTAAAAATTAAGCATTCACTTTCTTCAGCACCAGAAGATAAAACTGCCAAATTTTTTCCACGATTTGAAGGACCATATGTCATAGAAAAAATAACTCACGCTGTAGTAGTGTTAAAAGCCAGGAATGGTGAAACCTGCTCCGCAAACATTGATCAAATCAAACCCTACTATGATCGTAATAAAATGCAAATATTTACAGATCTTTTGCAGGATCCGGCACGGCAGGCACGGCAGACACGGCAGGCACAAGCTCCAGAGGTGGAACAACGACAAGTACAAGGGCAAGCCATTAAGAGGCAGGAACAAGTGAAAAGAAAGTTTCCCCGCGGGAAAAGTGAAGGTAACAAGAAAAAGAAGCCGTTCCACCGTCCAGAAAAGAGAGCTTACGAACACCCCCAGAATGAAGAAGGGAGAAGGATGACGTATGCAAAGAGAGCCAGGAGAAATGACGGCAACTATAACCCGGCTCTAAAACGGAAGATCTACTCATCCGACAGGACTCTCCGCAGCAAATGTCGCCGAACTGCGGAAGGGCCACCAGCGGCGGAGGAAAAGTTACAAGGAAAATTTGAACGGCCAGCAACGAGGTCCAAGCAGGAACGTGAAAGAAGTTTCCCGGTTCCGCCAAGACCAGCTGCCATCAAACGGCCAAGACCACAGGCAGAGGCGAAAAAGGAAGGTATTCAAGGGTGACCGAACTGGAGAAAAAAGAAAGCTTCTAGAGGAAGGCACTGAAGGGCGAGCCCGCACAAGAAGGAGGATAAATCAAACGAGAATCTACGCTACCTTCCAGGACTGGGCTCAGAAAAGAATGTCCGAATATCACAAAGATAAGTAAAATTTTATGTTACTTTGCAAACTTAAGTTAATCTTTCATTCTTACTGCAAGTGGCAGATTTCAAGAAGTTTTACCTCATGCGAGGTCTACCTTTATCGCCAAAAGGGCGAGAAATGAGTTGTTACCGATTTTGGTATTATGTTTTTTTCAATTACTCGCGCGTAAAACTAAAGTTGATGTATAATAGCGAATGTGTAAATACTTAAATATTGTAAAAGTTATTGTATAAATTTTATTTAAAAGATTCTGGCAAGAAAGAAGTTTTAGTCTGAAAGACTTTTTGAAATGTATTATTTCAATGTAGAATATAATAATTGCTTTGAAAAGAATAGAAGTTAACAATGTACTACTAATGTATGTTTTCAAATGCGTAAAATTAACGGCATGTTAATATGTTCTTATATACAATGTGAACTGTTATTTTAAATGTTAAGAAATACCGTGATATGGTAAAAGTGAAAGTAATGTTAAATTTTTTTTTATTCGTGTGACTGTAAAAAGACCAAATCATGGTGAATATGTGTTAAAGGTTGAATGAATGTAGTTAGGCTCTCTGACGCTACACTTCAGAGTTAGCCACTTTCAGAATAGTACCTCAGGGTTTAGAGTTGAAGTTAGGGTGTGTTACGAGGTCTTGGTATGTTGAATTTTAACACGTTAGTGTTTTGATTGTAGGAGGAAGTGTTGAACACGTATACATAAACACATTCGTGTTTGGTGTTCTTTTACAACACATGTCAGAGAGCACGGGGAGAGATAATTAAAATAGTCATGAATGAAATAAGAATGTTAAGAGAAATATAGATATGCATGTTACTTGCCATTTCATTGTGTAACATTTCATTAAACTAGTTTTCCTTCCAGATCTCTGGAAGGAACCAGATTTGAATAAAAAGCTCCTGTTTAGATGCAGTACAAATGAAAAAATTGCGTGTCCTTGGAGCTGCTATTGTAAAAACAAATTTCTTTTTTTTTAAAATTTCTAGTTTTTAGTGAGAAATGTTTGTAAAAGATTGGCCTCGCGTTAGATTCTAGAGCTAAAAGTTTTCAACAAGGTCGTTTTAGACCTCAGTTTCAAACTAATTAACTCTGGCGGGAAGTATGTAAGGATCTTAAGTTTTACTAACGTTTATTTTATTTTAAATCTTTACTATCACTTCTTATTTTCTACTTCCGGCCAGAATTAAAAGCGTTAACTTATTTATGCAAAATTTGTCTGGCGAACGCCAAGTACTTAAGTTGTGGCTTTTTGCCAAGCGAGAGAGAGGAAGGAGTTAGTCGAAGCAGGCCGCTTACCTTAGAAGTTTTACTCAGTTGCTGGTTGCCTTCCAGGCCAGAGGTTTAATCCTCTTGATAATTTTAAACGTATTGTAGTGTTAACAGTTCTCTGTACTACATACGGCTTCCTGTTAATATAAGGCCAATCTTCCACGTTTATTATTTCAAAGTTAAGTTAGAGTTTAGTTATATTTTTATATACTTATGTTTAGACCACAAGTAGTGGGTCTTTGTATTCCGAAGTACGGAAATTATTGTGAGGAGAGAAAAATAAAGGGTTTTGTATACCCTTCTTGTGTATCCTGTCTACTTCCCTTCCTACTTACTAAAGTTATTGAACATAGCTTTAGTAAGCTCTCTGTTCCGAGTCAGGTCCTTGCATGTTCCCAAAGAAAGTAAGACGGAACATTGAACCTGATAACTGAAAACCGCGAAATGCTATACAAGGAGCCATTGACTGCGCCTATAAAACGTTGTTAAAAATTCTAATTGCCATATGTTTGAAATTTTCCTAGAAATGCTGGTTTTTAATTCGTCCAATGTCCGTGGTTTATCATAATAGATACGACGCTTCAGAAAATCCCATGAGAAGAAATCTGGGGACGACAGGTCTTGTGACTTCGGACGCCACAAATCTTTGGAAATAATGCGATACCCAAAGAAATTCCTAATCAAATCCATACGTTGTTTGACGTGTTGCATGTGGCATCATCATGCTGGTAACACCCCTTAGTCAGTTCCACGTCCTCAAGCTGCTATACAAATTCATTAAAAATGTGCATGTATAACTCGTTGTTCATTTTTCTTTCGATAAATATTGGTTTCCCGATGAGAGTGGCGGACAGAGCGCCCCAGACTCCTACTTTGTGTGAATGGAATAGCATCTCCATCATCGCATGTGGGTTTTCAGTTGACCAATTATTCTGGGAATTCACATATCTAGACAAGTGAAACCAAGCTTTATCTGTGAACCATGTAAGCACCAGGATGTTGCGGATACGTTTGATGAACAACAAGAACCACTCACATTTTACCGCCACCCACTACGTCTTATCTAGGTCTTGCAATTCATGCACAGTCGTTACTTTGTACTGTTTCATTACGGATTAGCAGCTCTCTCACACGTAGACTAACTGTATCCAGTCTCCTGCTATAAATATAATATAATATCGATATATTATCGTAATATCTCTAGATAATTTACTTTAAAAACAGAAAAGATTCGCAGAATTGAAGCAGAATAATATTCAAAATCTAGTAGATGAGGTACTGAAAATCTAAAACAAAGCCAGAGGAAAGTAATTAAGTACCAATTACGGCGTATGAAACCAGTTTAAAAGTCAGAGATAAATTATTAAAATTGCAATATGCGCCTTCATTTTCCGGATGAAGAGGAGATACAGAAATTTCATCCGAAATTTGAGAGGTCAATATTTAGTTGTGAACAATAAGGAAAATTTAGTGGTACTTCAGGATTGGGAGGAACAGACAATTTCAAAAATATGGACTACTTAAAGAGACAATAGAAATGGTACGTCCCTTTTCAAGGAAATGGGTGTTCAGGCAGAAGTTAGTGTCTGGAACGCAATCAAATATTCCGCAGAGGGATGCTGAAGAAAGTCTGTTGAGGAGTTTGTGAAAAGAGGGTCCTCTTGTTAGTATAAATAAGGAAAAGGAACAGTAAAACAACAGAACAGGTCTCAGCTACGAAACAGACGAAAGAAGATCTAAGTAGAAGTTAACATAAGCAACGGATAGCTCGCAGGTGCAAAAGTATCGGCAAGAAGATGCTGGCGATCGGAAAAAATAGAAAACAAGGCGAACAGGTGATATGCAAGGAAAATGTTGCGCATAATAAAGCAATCAGCGGCGCGAAAATAATGGACAGCAAGTCCGTGGATACAAAAGGAAGTAGACCGGAAAAGAAATGGCGGAGTACAAGCCAAAGCGAATGTACCTACTTCGGAAGTAATACGCATAAAGCGGAGGTCAAAAAGGTTAAATTGATAAATTGGGAATGGGAGCCTAAAATTTCCAAATTAGAATTAAAAATTTTATGCAAGGATTTATTTTCGGAGGTGAATGAATCTGGCTTGTTTTCAAAGACAGCGTGTGTAATTTCTTCAATAATTTACAAGCTTCTTGATTATCAAAGATTATCAAACCAGTCAAACTAATTTACCTGTAAAAATCTAAATGACTACAATTTCTTTTTTAATATAAATTTTACTTAAAATTAATTCAGCACTTTGAAATTTAACACTTGTCTTAAAAACTAACAGACTATTTTAAAGTCAGATTTAAAACTAGTTTTTAACCAATCTTTTTATTACTGCAAGAAAATCTATTCTATCTACGTTATATAGTATTTCTTTGCTGGGATCTCAATCTTTCGCTTAAAAGATTTGCACTGTGAAGCACTATGTTAATGCACTTTTAAATGTTTCCTCTAGAGCTGATATGGACCATACTTTCTCCTCTTTAACGTTATAAAAACATAGTATTTTAGTTACGTGTCATTATACCATATGTTTGTCACATTTTTTATAAAAGGATTCCTAACATCCATTGAAACAAAATGGATTGTTAAACAGCTGTAACAAACTTTTATATTCCGACAAAATGTTGCCATAGGTCTGACGTTTCTGTTTGTGTTCAAATAGAGAAAAACCTTTAAGGGTCTTTTTTTTCCTTTCTATATATGTTTTATAAGTTATCTTCCCTTAGAAATTAGCTGAAGAAACTTGAAAAATGGCTCATCTTTTACTGCAAGCTGTGTTCACTTGGATTATTTGTATTAATGTGAAAGCGATTGAAAACCCAACATCAGGTAAAATGAAATTTTTCTTTTAAATGCAAACATATAATTATTCATTTAAACATTATGTAATTTGAAATGCGGAAATTGATTTTTATTTGGTGAAATATTTTAATTCTGTTTTAACCTAAATTTTAACCGCATTGAAAAAAAGCAAATAATTATGAAAATTTTTAAATTAAAAAGATTTTACAGCTTTTGTATCTTTCTTAGAAATCTTTGTGCACACTTCAAGTGCATAAATGTCACTTTTCAATTTTAAATGAAGTCGAATTTAGTATAATTGTATTTTTCGATAAAAGTGTTTATTGTAATGGCATTTTTCTATCAGTGTGTTGTTACTCTTTTCTGCTATTTAACTTTTCTTTTTCCTATTAATTTGTTTTCATTTCAACTACCGTTTATTTTCCATTACGGTTATTTTAATTTCTTATTTCCTGAATTATTATCCAGTTTTCCTTTTGGTCGTATATTTTTATTAATATGGTCTCGTTCTCTTATTTCAATGGTTTATAAGACTGTAATACTGTTTAGCTTTATTAGACCAGGCATGCGTTTTGCTGCGTATTTTGAATGCCCAGTAATAGAATATAAATTTTTCTGAAAAAACGCAATCAGTAAATTCGAACTTTCATAAAATATGATTAGGGGGAATATGTTGTAAAATTAATTAGTACTAATTGAAAATATGCAAATAATGTGCATGATATTGTGGGGTTCCAATCTTTCATCTAAGAGCTAAATGTGTAGGAACCTCGTTAACAGATAAGCAAATAATCGCTTTAGTTCAGAAACAGAAAGGTAAAACTCAAGAAGGATTAATTACCCTTTATTTCTCGAAATAAAAACATAACAGTTGGCTCTTTTCTCAAAGCGTACAGCAAAGCCTCCACTTGGGCTTGAACTGAAAGTAATAAGAAATAAGACTTAAAAGTTCCTTAACTAAAAGGAAGCTATCAAAAGTCTAGGTAGTTGGCCCCTAATTATCGAATAAACTAGCAAGGGTCTGATATACGGCCGAGCTTAGTAATAGCTTAGAGACAGACGTAGCCAAAAGGCAAACTCGCGCTAGTCAGAAACTCTGGCTCTCTAACGAAGTAAGTGGTACTTAAATACCCCTCTTATTCATTTGCATTAACCGCAATCCTAAAAACACATTCTGGTAGGAAATTGTAAGCTGAAATTAGCTTTAACTAAAGATAACTGTTAAAAACTTAGGATAAACCTTACAATACATATATATATATAGGGCGTGTGTGTATGTGTAGCCTTACTAATTGATTTGCGTATTGGATGAAATCAAAATTTTCACAATACTCCCTTAAAGGCATATTTGATAGCAAGTAAATTCGTGTTTCACTTGTTTAGCCTTCGAAACGTTGAGTGACATGCCATTTTTATGAACGTTTGTTTCCGCTTATTATTCCCTTACCTCTCGCCAATCAAGGATTTGTTGGTCACTATCAGACTTCGATTGAATTCTCCTTCTCCTCCAAAAAAACGAAAGTAAACTGTGGAATTACATCAGCAAAGCACTATGCACGTTACCACAGAACATTTTTCGGACATTTATTGGTTTGACGCATAGACGTATTCAAGAGTACGTTGTCCGAAATGCTGAAGATTTCTTAATTTCTTAATTTCCTGCGCATTTAAGTGTCACATTGTTTTATATCTTTAAAAATTAAATCTTGCAGAATACTAGAAAGCGTACATCGTACATAGAAATGTACAGCACATTTCCAATAATTTTTTTAGTATAGCGTTTTCTCAGCCAGGCAGTTTATGCTTATTATATGATGTCTTAACATCATTTTAGATTTGCTTTTAATTCTAAAACATTTTAATTTAGGTAGTTTTAACTAATTTACTGTTATTTTCTTTAAAAATTCCAATTTCTCAAGACTTTGATTGTTTTTAAAGAAATTCACTTTCTTAAATTCACCTCTTTTAATACTCACAGAAAAGGTTCATAAAAAGTATTGCCATTAACAAACAAAGGAACATTTAAAACACTTATCAAATATAAGTATTTTAATCAAATATCTTCTGAAATATAAGTATTTGAATCGTTAAAAACAATAACAAGCACAAAAGTGAAGAAAAGCGTATTTACGGTTTCCACTTCAACAGAAATTTAATTGAAGCAATGCACGAAAGCAACAATTCTAAAGTTCTTTCTAATTATGATTGGAAATGAATTACCTGGAAATGAATTACAGGTGATTAAGTATGTAAGCCAATTTACATCAAAACATAAGCTAAAGAAACATTTGAAATGCTATTACAATTTTATTTTCCATTTGATTTACAATCATTCAATGCTTTTTGAAAGAATTTCTTTGCAGTGAAATTTCAAAGATTCAATCATTTAAGAAAATGTTATTTATATGATAAAAATGAAATATTTTTTGTAGTACATATTGCAATGCCTGTTTTAAAAAAGTATTACATTTTGTGTATTCCAAGCCATTTATTTGTACAATGAAAATAATAATAAAGGTAAAATCTTATTATTATTTTCATCCCCAGTCCCTTGATTCGGCATTTTTACGTAATTACTTTTGACTATTAAAAAATTTAAGTTTTTATATATTATATATATGTATCAATACTGTACTATGTGTACAATCTAATTGTATTTGCAGTCTAATTCAACATTAACTGTCATGACTGACTGACAGTATAAGGTCAACATTAATTAATTAATTTAACAGTTAAAAATCTAAATATAATTTTTTTCTAAAATATATCAAAGCGGAGCCCAAACGGTGTCAGATTTCTCACCTATAGAACCCTTTATCCTCTCTTATCAAAACAGTTTTATGCAATTGATATTTTTGGACAATTCACACTATCTCAAAGATGCGACATCTAGCTTTTACTGGTACCAAAAAGACCTTCTAGAAATATCAAGACTACTGAAGTAAATATGTATGTGTCTAGTAGATATTAGTTTGAAAACGTTACGTCCACCAAAGGTAGTTAATAATTTTTGCATGTCAAATAAAACTTCTCTACAAGCAGTTCCACAAACTTAACAAACACTGGATACAACCTGTTCGTGAGAGATATTATGTACTATAGAGTTGTTCCTTTTATAATTTACTAGCGGAGGTACAAGGTATCAATTAATATAGATTGAGAGTAATATATCTAGCAACGGAGAGAACGATAATGCTGTAAGCCTTCTCTAATAACGATGCAAAAAATACGATTCATAGTGATACATTTTTTAGTCTGATGCGATATGAAATTTTTCAATAGGAAAATAAACTAATTCTCTCTCATTATCAGCAGCAATGGCACTCAGTTTTTAATGATTTAATCTTTCTAATCGAATGTTCGCAAAAGCTCTAGCTCCATCCAATATTTCACTTTTATTTAATTTTAATCGATTAAATGAGGCAAAAAAAATTATCTTAATTGATCAGAAATTAAACAAACAAATACATGAACAGACATTCTTTTATATATATCTTTATGTTTTGTAAAACTTAGAAATTTTCCATTATCAAACTCGACGATCTAAAAGCGAGCTGTAGCAACACATTTTAAAATGAAGCATTTTTATCTCCAACACGCGAGACTGTTGCCACTCGGAAAAATGAGGGTGAAAATTAGTGTTTTCTGAGTTTTTAATTAATATCTTGGCAAATTAAAGTCATACGAAGATAGGAACAGTCGCAATGGTTTCGCACGAATTTTTGGAATTGGGAATAACGTATTTAATGTTTGGCAGTACTATTTTTATTTCATTGTAAAACTTCGAAATTTTTTATTAGCAAACTCTGCGATTTTAAAACGAGCAGTGGCAACGCTTCTCAAAATAAAGCAGACTTTTATCTCCAGCATGCGAAACTAAATAGCGGATGCATATTGCAATCGAATTTTGTTAGAATTTTCTTAGCTCAGTGCTACCCTCGGGTATCACTATGAGTTACTCTTTTAGTGGACGACTGAGCTTACAGGAGGAGAGCAACTATGCGGAATCGGATGTTTCTTTTGCTATCGGATTACCAGCATGTATTTATAAAGAGACTCAAGAACTTTTTCGAACTCCCAAACCGGTTAAGAAAGCTAAAGTAAAGAAGTATACAAAGGATAAAACTGAAGCTGTTGCATCTAATGCATTGTGACTGATGTATCAGACAACGAATTCGGAAATAAGACTGAAGTTTACCAGGTTGAGACAAATCAGAAAACCGAATAATTTTTGAGGAACATGATATTGCAACAAGGAGTGGATAATTTTATGGGAAACCTCAAATCGATCGGATTCAATCCACCCAAGATGTCACCAACGGAAACCATGAGAAAACGAGTTCGTAACGACAACTCCTCGACTGAAAATAATCCAGAAAATCAACAGACGAAGGAAAACCCAAAGAATGAATGGATTAAGCCTAAACAAGTTGCTAAAATCCCAGAAGAGCCCAAACCTATGGATATTCCACATCAAAACAGATTATAAACCCTTGCAGAGCAACCAACAGAGAATGAAGGAAGAGCTAACTACGAAGAAATTCCTCCCCCCATTGTCCTCATGATGGCGTAGACTGGTTGGAAATTGTCCAGGAAAACTGTTCCGAGGAGTTTGAATCAGCATTGAAGGCAAAAAACATCTTTATCTACACAAAAAACACTACGGACTATAGAAAAATGTGTAAAATACTTGTGGACAAGAGCATATCGTTTTACTCTTTTCTCCTAGTAGGCAAAAAGCCGCTACGTGTAATCCTTTAAGGGAATCCCAGCCTCAGTGAAGGAAGAAATCATGTTCAATGAACTTGCGAGACGTAAGTTTTCAATAATAAAAGTCAACTAATTTACTCGTAAATGTCAAGAAACTGTTGAGAAACTACCCATTTACCTATTAGAATTAAAGAACAGTGCAGAAGATCATGCTATCCATCTGGTAAACAGAATGTTCAGCTTCAATGTTAACATTGAAAAGTTCTCGCTTAGAAAACGCCGAATATAGTGCTTCCGATGTTAGGAATTCCGGCACTCACAAGACTGCTGCCATAAACCTCTAAGATGCTATAAGTGCGGCGAACGGCACCGAACCACCCAGTGTAACCTCAAAAAGGAAGAAAAGCCAAAGTGTATTTTTTACGCATCCGACCATGTCAGCAGCTACCGTGGGTGTAGCGCCTACAAGAAAAGATTTGAGCAAAAGAGGCAGCCCGCAGAGCAGAAGAAAACAAACTCCCACGCAAAAAGTTCCTGAACTGAATACTGAAAGTTTTCCTGGTATTTCAACCAAAGAGATGAATGCAGTTCAACGATCCCTTCCAGAAATTTCTTACAGTGATAAAATCAGAAGAAACATTAAACCACCACTTGAAGATTTTAATGAAGCCCTCACCTGGATGCAAGATGGAAAATCATGAACTTTTTAAAAACTGTGATTTCTCTTATCGAAAAGATACAGAAAGCAAAGTCAGCCTCCGATAAACTCAGATTTGGTTTCCAAGCAGTGATGACAATAAACATATTTGCTGAAGAAGATTAATCTCTGCAGAAACCACCACTAGATGACGACTCCATCACTGACCAGCTAACCCCAATATCGACTTTCCGGTAAGCTTCCATTCACGCAGATAGATGGCGCCACAGGAGATGATCGTGGAACCCGAACTTTTCTTGTCACCAGCACCGCCTCCAGTACGTTACCTGCTCTTTCTCAATCTTCTCTTTCATCCTACCACCCTTATTCTTCTCAGATTTGTCATTGCCAATGATTCTTTATCCTCTTTTTTACTCAGCTGTGATTTCTCCCAACACTCACCGTCTCGGAACGACTATCTCATGTTGTACCGTGAACTCACCAGCCATGTAGTCTTTCCTCCTCTCCTCCCTCCCCTCTTTTCTGGTTTTCCTCAGCCCTGCTTATCATTACTCTTCTGATATAGAGGTAGATGGTTTGATTACCATAGGGATTCCGACATTTTACCTCATTGGTATTGGCATGCGAAACTGTTGGCATTCGGAAAAATGAGGGCGAAAATTAGCGTTTTCAGAGTTCTTAATTAATATCCCTGATTTTCACTTTTCTTGGAAAACGCTTGACTTCGACCTTTTCCAGTACCCAGAAACGAATGGTAGAAAGTTTGGTGACGATTGTAGTAGCTGAGTTAATCACGAATAAACAAATACACAGACATTTTTCGTTATATAAATAGATTATAACATTAATATCTATATTACCTGTCCAGAAAAGCAGCTGAAAAGATACTGCTTGCATCTATACGAATCAATTTAATGACATTTGGGAAATTATAGATAGCTTAGGCAACACAGTATTTTTCACTTCTGGTGTGATCAGGACAGCGCCAAGACAACAGTTTATTTAAAAAAAAATCTCGTACTCTACACATTTGCTTTATGATGTTCCGAAACCAAAAAAAAAATTTTTTTTTCTCTTTATTTGCTTAACATCCAGCTAATATTTTCACAAATAAATGTGACTTATCCTTACGTGAATATATGATTCCATAGATTTCAAACTCTGATTTCTCTGCAAAGTAGAAAGGGTGTTTTATAGCTTCCAATGAAGAAATTCTATAAAACATAATTACGAAAACTCAAATTCTGATTATACTTTTACATATAACACGTGCTATTTATGCTTTTTGTATGTTTTTGATTATTTAGGCATTATTGTCCGAAGTGAACTACCAAACCGAAATGCTGTTGATAAGGGAGAGCTTGGTATTTTCAGGACTGGATCACCATTTGATTATCCTCAAATAGAAAGATGGTATAGTCTGCCACCGCACAGCAGAGGAAAGATAAATACAAAGTTCCGTTTTTTCAGCTCGACCAATAAATATATTCCACAGAGCATTTCTAATATGAATTTCTCCGCATGGAATGTAAAAGAAAGTGGCTTCTGCAATCGTTTGGAGACATATATTATAATACACGACTACTTGGGAGGAAACTCAGAATGGCAACTGGTAAATAAACCGAAATTTATCAAACATTTATTGATTTCTGAATTGCAGTTTTCATTTATAAGATCTTTTTCTCATATATTTTTTCATATGATATTTTACGCGTTAAATTATACAGTTCCTCAGCAAAATTTACAGCACATTTATTAATCAGGAAATTTTTACTTTTTTTATATTTCTTTTATTTATAATGCTTAAAAATCCTTTTTTATCAATCAGATGAAATTACGCCTTGGAGAAGAATTACAAACATATAACAATTATATTAGTTTTTTGTGTTTATAAACTAATTTTTTATTGTTTCTTATTTGCCTTGATTTTATTTACAATAATTTATGTAATTTATAAGTGTTATATGAATCTCAATTAGTAAGAATGAGTCCAAATGCTGGGATTTCTACAAATGTGCATATATATGCATGATCAATTGTTGCTTCAAAACCTCTTTCGTTTTCGGCAGCTTATTTATTCACTTATTGCTGAGGGCTAGTTAATAACGGTTTTCTAAATGGGAATTAGGTGGAATTTGTAAAATAATCTTCGTGGAGGATTTACTAAGGGAACCTACTTCACATTCATGAACGTTATATTGTAGGGTTTTATTTATTTTTTAATAGTTATTTTAATTTGTGAGCCTTTTCTGCTTTCTCTTATGCCTGCCCCTGCGTTTCCTTCCCAGGGTGTAAATGCATTAAGATGAAAGAGAGTATTTAAACTATTGGAGTGAAAAGCTTAGTGAGAGTGCGAAAATAGTTTTTTTTGTCGTTTTTTTATTAACGTTTAAAGCTCAGTAACACGAATCAGTATAATCAAATATCCAAAACTTGTTCTACGGTAAAATTCCGAAATATATTTTAAGACTGCAAGTTACATTATTGCGTATTTTCATTCAATTCATACCATGCAATTAAAATTTTGTTTTTCAGAGGCTAAAGAATGCGCTGTTGAATAATATGGACTGTAATGTGTTCATCGTCGGTTGGTTTGACGGCAGTGGGGAAGCATACCCACAGTCGGTTGCAAATATACGTGTAGTAGGAGCTGAAGTTGGACTTTTTATGCAACGCTTAGTCGTAAGTTTACATTATTTTAATACAAGGTATATCTGCCAGATATTTTCATTAGAAAAGTAACTTACATAATTTTAAAATTTTGTAACTTTTATAAAATTATGAAACCATTACTTCGGTGAAATATTTTAAAATTATTATTATTATCATCATTATTAATAAATATTTCAATAGAAAGTTAGTTACCTATAAAAGTGCAAATAAATCTCTCAAGACGAACATATTTTATTCTAAGAAGAGCTTCTCTAATTATGGCCAGTAATTGTAAAACTATGAATAAAATTGCCGGTCATAACATAAATCGCTCAATCAATCCCTCCTTGATCTGCCAATCCAATCCAATCCTATAATGCTTAATCTCTACTAGTAAGATGTCTTCCAAGTAAAGTATAAGAATTTTAAATTTGGAAACATGGTATAAAAGTGGTGCAAAGATTGATTGGCGATCAATTACAGAGAAATTGACGAATGTGACAAAACGGATATAGGTTCCAAAAGGATGGAAAGTTCGTGAAAATAATAAAAGAAATGTGGTAAAAAATGCCAGCCAAAAACTAAAGAAAGAAAGTTCAAATACTAAAAAAAGGAAAGATATTTATCCATATAAGGAAATAAGCATTTTTACTGTGGCTTTATTTCTGTCCTAGATCCTCTAATCAGATTATATATTTCTTTCAGCAAAAGAAACATTTACATAAAATAAACTTCAGATCAAGAATCACAGTGCAAGAACTACTTGTTAAAAGACATTCAATCGATAATACGATGTTTTTAAAAAATTCTGTGATGAAAATCAGTTCTCCAATAAGAACATCAGGGTAATTCAGTTGCAATTATTTCGGTCGTTATTATAATACTAGCAGTCAAGTTCGCCATATAAGCTATGTGCGACCAAAGCAAAATTTACAAGTTTTGTGCACACTTGAAAAAAAGGCTGAGGTGTACACTACATGACTTCTTTGTACGGAATATTAAATTATACGCGTTTTTTCCTGCATTTCATTTTAACATATTTCCTCGAATTTGTTTAGAGATATATTTCTCATTCAATTATTTCAGTTCTCACTTCTCGGCAAGGCAAAAAATACATAAAAACTCAAAATATTTGCATTAAAAAGTGAAAGATATAGAAAACCTTAAAATATCAAATACAGTTAAAAGAATGTAAAAAAAATTGACAATCAAAATTACAGTTTCTATGGAAAAACAAGTAATTCGGCCAGCAGGAAAGAAGCCAGATTTTTAGGTTCATAAAACTAAAAGTTTCCTTTTGGTCCTACTCCGCAAAAAGACACTGAAGGTGCAGAAAGAATTAATTCACTACTCTGCTAAGTTTCAAATGTAAAAAAAAAAAAAAAAAAAATATGCCTGCTAGGGTAAAAATAATTCGGATTACTTGCACTTTAAACAGTTCTTAAATTGTTGATAATTCTACAAATATTGGATGCAGATTAACTAAAGGCATAAAAACCTTAACCGGAAGATAAAAACAACGTCTAAAGCAAAAAATGCACAATTTAACAACATATAAGAATAAAAATATTGAGCTTATTGAGGGAGCGGGCATATATATATATATAGTTTAGGTGCGGCCGATTGAAACAGAAAAGGGAGGTGCACATCTATGTGTTATAGCAGTCCTATATACAAAATTTCAACGTTCTGAAGCTACTCGGTTTTGAGTTATGCGAAATACATACGTACGTACAGGAAAAAGTCTCTTCTGAACCCATTTAAATCAGTTTTATAATTCGTTTGGTGGAAAAAGAGTCCTTTATTCTGTCCCTATGTACAGATATTACGCAAAACCATCGTTAAATTGCATCAATAGCTGTCAAACCGGATGTTTTCGTTGAAATATGGTACTTGGAATATTTCGTGATTACAATACTTCGTTCACTTCGCACAATAAAGTAAAAATGTATAAAAACATTTCACTATAAACGAAATTCATTCTTTCCAAGCAACAACGAAATCGATAATAATTTTTGTCGCCGAACCAGGAAACAAAAGCTTTTAACACTTCAGCTTGTAGAGACATTAGGTATTTGTATGAAGCAAGAAAAGTGACAAATTTGCAACACCTTCGCCGGGAATCGAACCACGGATATCTTGAATGCGCGCCAGCATGCCAAGAAGGCGGGATAAATACCTAATAAGATATGCGCATGATGTCATGATTTAAATTTAATGCAATATAACAACGGTTTCTCAGTAATAATAAAAACAATTTACATGACACTAGCATATCGTGCCAGTTATAATAACCTGAAACAAAAACGTTTCCAGTTAGCAGCTAAATATTTAAAATGCTGACATTAACGAAAAATGTTCGACATGCAATGACGTCATATGCAGTCGCATACTTTATTCAACGTCAGAATAAGACCGTATGTAATAACAATATGTTTAATATTTGGCTTCGACAATTGTATTTCATACCTTGTATAACTTACATATTTTTGATTAACAAACTCTACGATTTGAAAATAAGCAGTGGCAACACTTTTTAAAATAAAGCCTTTTTATCGCCAGCTCGAGAGACTGTTGCCACTCAGAAACATGAGTGCGAAAATTAGCGTTTTCAGAGTTTTTAATTAATATCTGGGCTGATTAAAGTCGTACGAAGATCTGAATGGACGAAATGTCTTCGCACGAATTTTTGAAATCCGAATTTACCTTTCTTGAAACTCAATTACTCACCTTTCCGGAGGAGATAATGCTAGAAACAAACAGACATACGCACACAGATTTTAATAGTATAGATTATGTTTATTTAGTAGTATTGATTATGTTTATTTAGTAGTATTGATTATGTTTATTTAGTAGTATTGATTATGTTTATTTGGTAGTATAGATTATGTTTATGTCCAAACATTGTGTGATGTAAATTGGCCGCATACAAATAAAAGCCTGCAATGATTTTGTGATTTATTAATTGAGATAGAAAAACATCCTTGAGCTGCAAGAACAAAAATTTGCAAATTAAAAAATGAAACTTGAGACAGTGATTTAGCATTCCTTACAGATTTAACACCTAAATTAAGTTATTCCAATTAGCTATTTCCAATAGCAAAGAAAAATAAGATAATGATTAAATAGCATTGTTGCATATAAACGAAAACTGATTATGCTAATAGCATATCTTCAACAAAACAATTTGAATGACATTCTATATTGAATCCCACTGAATCACTTTCCAGATATCTCTAATAACCTACAAAACATTAAAATGTAACCATAACATTGAAAAACACTTTGCAGAATTTGAAGAGAAGATTAAAATATCCGAGATCAAATGTCATGTTTCTGCAAAGGTTATTGTGCTGTATTTGTCTTTTCCTTTTCAAAAGGACGTAAGGGTAAGACATAATGTCGTAAAAATTCCTATTTAAAGGATTATTTGTTTTTATTTTCAAATGTTCAATTTCATATTAATACAAATTAATATTTGAAGTGTTATTCATTCGTTTGAAGTAATATTCATTTCCATTTTTCAACATTGCATGATGTAGTGCTGAAAAATAAAAACGACACTATCCAAATACCTTGAGTAAGATTTTTGGAAATACATCATTCGAGAAATTTATCCAATGTCACCAAATGTAGCAAATGTATCTACTCTTATTTTTAGTTTTACATGCTTATATCAGTCGACGTTTTCATATTTAAAGTTCACGAAGGCTAAATGCTTATCCCTATTTACTGACTCTTATACTGAAGATTCAATATCAACATCTTTGTTTCAATACACACCAAATTATTAATGTCTTGTTGAAGACATTCAGATGCAGATTTCCTATTAATGATAAGATAATAAAATAATTTATTCTGTGTTTTTTCTACAGCTAGGTTTCAATTAATAAATATTATTATTAAAACATCATGTTAATCCATGTGTTAATTAAAAACTCATATCATTAAGAATTTGATCAAATTAGTACAGAAGTTGGCTACCCCTGCTTTAACCTTTTAATGGTAATCAATAAGCTTAGCAAAGGTACACAGCTCGCTTTACAAATTTAGACTGAGAAGCATCTCGCGTATTTGGGAAGAAAGAATTGATTAAGTTCGCAAGCAACGAAGGGTTAATGTAGAACATTTCAATTTTTGCTGTTTTTCTAAACTTAGTAGACATCTATACAGATGTATAATATATAATTATTGTGTTTTAGAATGCCTCGAACTTGTATCCAGAGTTTGTCCATATAATCGGACATGGTCTTGGTGCACATGCAGCGGGATATGCTGGCAAATGGTTTCGAGAAAGACAGAACAAGCTGATTGGTCGAATTACAGGTAAGTTAAGTATACTTGCTTTTAACCTGCAGAATAACATTTAAAGGAACATTTCTTTAAATAATTTTACTTAGAAGGTAGAAATTCAAAAACACGATGGTACACTTTGTTTTTGTTTCTGAGACACACTCATTATCTCATAAACATCATACAATGTAATCTTCTGGGATTCAAACATATTATAATACTACAAAATGCAAGCATAATATGTAATGTGAAATAAAAGGTATTAACATCTTCTATAAACTCTGAACTCTTTCGTAGCGACCATGGCCCTAAGATGACCAACGCACTCTCTATCTCATAAGAATATTAACTATGCAAATCAATTATCACCGGAAACGGTATCACCATTTTTTCTATAAATTATCATCATTTTTCTAAGAAGACCACTATTACAGACATTTGGTCATTTGAAGATGTTCATTATGATTACAACTTACAACATTAATAAATTACTGAATTCAGATTATGACTTCTACACAAAAATGTAATTTATTATGTAAAATATAGTAAAATCATTTGGATATCTGAATATTATACCCTTAGGCTTGGATCCTGCAGGCCCTTATTTCAATGGAGTAAAGAAAGCTGTAAGGTTAGATAAACGTGATGCTGGATTCGTTGATGTTATACATACTAATGCAGATGGAAAACGCTTAGCAGGTACGGCAGTTCTATTCTGTCTTTTAACAAGGAGAAAAACTCCAAATACTCGATTTTCATATCTGGAATTTTAATTATTGTAATCGCTAGATTTCCTTTTTTTATATGTCAAATGAAATTACGCTTTTTGTTACAAATGCTCGTTTGTATTTATTTTTACTCATTTTAATAGCTTGAAATGGTAACATAATAGAGTGTTTTAAATTATTGACCAATTGGTGATCACTGAATTACGGAAGTACGCACCGTAATGCGTGCAAATAATTTTATAACTTGCTAGAACGATTTCTGCCTAAAAGAGAAGATGTTCTTGCAAAACTCCTCCTTTGCTCCTGTGAGCACAGTTTGGCTGATATTCGGACAATATGTGGTCTAAACCTCGTTTTCTTGAAAATAATTCAGCATTCTTCGATTGAAGTCCAAGAAGTAACATGTGAAATCTAAATGAATTTATCAAATACAGATAGAGTAACAAGTACTGTGTAGCCTTTTGATTAATTTAGGAGAATATTGCATACTAAATGAATTGTAATTTTGCAGCTGGAGGTATAAAAACAAAGATTTGCCTAACATTTGTTAAGTGCTGACCTGGCTTAAAAAATGTAATACATGCTCAAATTTTGGTACGTCTAGAAAGTTCTAGAAAAGGAAACAAGCATAGAAGAAAATTTTATGAATAATCTGCAGTGCTATATAATTGTTAAATGGCATCCAGCTCCATGAGTGCAAACCTTTGAAATAGTATAACGTCTAATTCCTTTGCATCACGTATACGGTCATCCTACACAATGGTAATTGCATTTTTTTGTTAATGATCACACAATTCTTTTGATATGCAAAATTCTAGTCAAGAAACTATAAATGTCTTCTGGAAGATTTGCAAGGAATTAAATTAATCATGTCATAAGAATGCAGTTTCGTATTGTTTTCAGGTGGTTCTGTTTCATAAACCATGAGAAAAGATCACATGTAAGCTAATATTGAATAAATTAATAAAAAATAAAGATTCATAATCAAAATTAATATTTAGAAGTGATAAACAATTGGTAAGGTTTCTTCGAAGACTAACTTTAAAGAACTGGAAAATAAAACCTATTTCATAGGAACTACATTTAGGGCTCAAACGGAAATAAAACTATGTTTTGCCACAGCTGAAGGGAAGATCATAATCATAAAAGTTGAGGTATAGAAATCATAGATTTACATTGGTTTTATATAAACACACATTGCGATAGGTATTACAGGAAAATTTTACAAAATATATACAAATATCAGAATAATAATTTACCGAAATATTTGCATATTTACAAGATCACATTTCAACAAAGTATACGAATGGAGAACTTACAGAATAAACATAAATTACCGGTGATTTAAAATATAGATAAATAAGAAATATGATAAAGATTAAATATATGTAAGGCCAAGCAATATGCTTCTTAGAATAAAATTCTAAATTAACAGTAATACTTTGTGTGAATGGCCTAAAGCCAACATCCGCATTGTAGTACCAGTAGTCGGGAACGTGCATGTTGATAAAGAAGGTACGTCTTCTTTTTCAACATATCCTTCCTTTAATTTCCCCATTTCTTACGTGCACTTTGATTCATTGATGGGAGATGAGACTATCTTGCTGAAGTCCCCTGACCAGAGCGTTTTCAGAGGCACTCCCTTTAATAGCTAAATTACTAGACAAGCTTAGTATGCTTTAAACCGTTCTTTAGTTTCTATCAAGGAACCACTTTATTGCTTTGAGAACCTCAAATAATTCTATCTTAAAGACACAATTAAGATGTATCAGTTTGATTGAATAATGAAAATTAATCAAGAAGGTTTATATCTTGTTAAGGAATGAGACCAAGAAACTAATCAATTTAAAATGTATTCATGACTGGCATATAAAATTACGTTATTGATATCCTGCAGACATTATAAAAATCTATAAACTATGACTGTAGATGTGAATATTGCCCGGTGTTCCAGTATACTGAATTGCGAGGATTGTAGCGCAACTGAAACATGAACAGAACCATTTTCCAGGAAGTCAAATTCACGAAAACTTCAACTGAGTACATGTTGATCTCCGCGCATCAATGCTAACTGTAACTTCAGGTGGTCCAATCTATATAAACTAACAGCAATAACATATGATTTCAGTGGATATTGTACAGTCTAACTCCTGAGGCATAAAAAATTAAATAATGTATATTTATATACAATAATGTATATCTATATTTCAAATAAGGATTAATACAGTTGGGGAAAGCCTCAAAATGACAAAGATCTGATGGAGGATTTAAATATATAAGCCAAAACATTATAACTTTGCTAAAGAAAAACAGTAGAATATATGAGAAAACTGCTTCTTATTTTTACCGATAAATTAGAATCGTTGGAATAAAGAATCATTCATAGAAATAACGAGAGCAATGCTAAAAGACACTTACCTTCCAAACAAGTATTGAAGTGAAGATGTTACGATAAGAAACTACCTGCAAAATAGATTACCAACGAAAGAATTGCTTTTCAGACGAAAGAAAACATCATTAGCTCATTTGCAAGCATTTAGTAGTCTGGCATGTGTGTATATGCTAAAGCAGAAGAGGCAAAAACTGGATGACAAAACTGAATGACTTATTATAATACGTATCCAATTATTAGAAGGCACAAAAAGAATAGAAGGCACAAAAGAGTATCGTTTTCTAGACACCTTTATAATTAGTATTGTAAGGAGGTATGATGATTATTCTAAAAGATCTCTTTCTTAAGAATAAGTAAGAACATGCCAAAGATGTAACTACTATTAAAGATAATTCAAAAACATAGTATATATCTCAAAGTACAGAACTGAGAACTTTGTGAGAAAACAAAAATGTATCGCTTATAGACCCAACATCAGTTCATTTTTTAACAGTAGGTGGAAGCACCAAACCGAACATCATTCCATGAAGTTGTACTGAAGAGATGCCAATAAGGGAAAATGGAAAAAGAGTAAGCCCTCTTCCAAGTATATAAAGTGAACTTTCTCTCTATAAACTGAAAATTACGGGAGCGAAAAAACGTTCGTAGATCAAATTCTGCACTGATAATCAAATTAAATTCTAGACTGTATTTCAGACTGTTCATAAAACATTTTTTGTGCTGCAAATATCAGTCTACGGGAAACTTCAAGCATGCGGGTTCTCTTGATAGAACTTGAGAATTTATTTCAAATAGATACCCCTTGCCTAAGACATTCAGCTTCATACAGAAATCAGGAAAGAAGTCTTGTGACGTAGAACAAACCTTTTACCCAGAACAGAAAAGAATTTTAGCCTATCAGAAATCCAATACACAAATTCAAGTCTTGCCACCAGAGCGATACCGATCCTAGACGGCCAACACATGCGACATGCGACGGAGGACGTGGGCACCACCCCTCTACCAATACGGTTAATCGGTATAGCGCGACGTCCACCTTTATCTAGATAACCATACGTGTTCATTGTGCTAATATACTAATATATAAACATACATACAAATTTGGTACTTCATACAGTGGCGTTAAAGCTAATTAATGTTAGACACTGGATAATACATTGCCATGTTACAACGTGTATGCAAAAGCATGGATACGGTAGCATATATACATAACGTGTGTACTCATATGTTGAGTACACTATGACCCTTTGAAGCATTATCATTAGATTACAGAAGACATGTACATACTGAAATATTAGGTGCGCAATGTTATGCTGGAATAAGTAATTAGTACAGTGAATTAAAAGTTAGACCCTAGATTAGTATTGTGTAGTACAGTGTCTTTGGTGCAATTAATTTTAGAGTGGGGCTCTAGTTAGTTCTTTGCGATTTGTGCCGTGTTACAGGATAAAATGTGCAGATGCGTAGTTACATTATCATATATACAGAACATAAATTCATATACATATATACAGACACATTAGGTACATGATTATTCAGTGCGTAATAGATGTATATTAACTATACAGTGCCAAGATATGTGATAACACTAGTAGATACATGGGTACAATTACATATAAACAAGGACATACACAATTACATGTAGACAAAAGGGTATATACGCTTATATTTTGGTACACAATAGTCATTGGTGACATAAACATTTCGTACTTACTTCATATACTGAAACTCTAGATCCATAAAATAATGTTATAACTAGTAATAGGTGCTTATTTAATTTCATAATAGGACAGAACGTTGATATTTTGCTTTACTGTGTCACGTTACGTAGAAATGTATGCTGGTGCATGGGTACAGCTTCCTATTTACAATGCTATACTGTTTTCCTATTTACAATGCTATTTACAACGCTTACCTATTTACAACGCTTATATCATTCGATTTCATAATCAATAGGTACATGGCACATTTATGTACATAAGCAGATGGTACATTGTAGAGTGCCGTTTAGGATAATTGATGCAATTAATTTTATAGTATTTTAAAAATAATGCATTTATACGCAATTATAGGGTGCATAATTGTCATTGGGTACATATACAATAGGCGCATAATACATATACATATTCATATATTAGTTTCTTAATACAATGCTAGGGCAAGTAATTGGTGCTGTTATTTTTACATGTTACATGATGCTGTAGGCGATTGGATGGATAAACTAATATATATACTAATATACATATACACAACTTTTAGGCACATAATAATCACTATATTCTCAGACATTAGGTACATGGTATACATATACATATATAAACAGATGGTTCATAATACAGTGCTATGGAAAGTAATAAATGCAGTTAATTTTTATAGTAAAATTCTAGTTTAACACTATGCGAAACGGCTTCATGTTACACAGTGTTAAATACTGACGCATGAATACAGTAATATTTCTACTTGTTAATACTATATATATAAAAATATACAAATATTTTTAGGTGCATACTTAACATAAGATACATAATTATTAGATGCACTATGCATATACGTACATAATACATAAGATTAGTACAATGCTGGAACAATTCATTGGTGCTGTAAGTTTTAGTGTAAGATCCTAGTTTAACGCTATGTGGTACAGTGCCATACTACAGGATGATATGCGCGGAGCCATGGATGCAGTTATATACATACTAAAACACGTATACACAATTATTAGGCACGCAGTAATCATTGGATTTATAAGCATTATATACATGGTACATATACAGACGATACATAACATATAAACAATATATATATAATAATAATGCTATAGAAGTTAGTTAATGCAATGGGGTTTTTAGAATTAAGACTTTAGATTAACACTATGCGGTAAAGTTCATGTTGCGTGATGTTATATTTCGGATGCATGGTTACATTATCATATATACGAGGATATATATACATATTATTAGGCACATAGTAATCATTGGGCTCACAATCTTAATGCACATAGTACCTTAGTCTCGTAGCATTAGGCACATACTACATAAATATACTTAGACTGAAAGTACGTAATAAGGTGCTAGAGCAAATGGTGCTATTAATTTGATGATGCTAAATAATATTAATACAATAATGCAGCAATGATTAATACAGTTAATGATCAATACAGTAACATTTATACTAGAACATATATTTATACAAATACAAGGCGCATAATTAACATTGAGTATAGAAGCATTGGGTGCATTATACATATACATACATAAAACATAACTACATGGTGATGGTACTTAAGATACATTTATAAACAGGTACAGATGGTCCTTATTTACATATTGCGGTACAGATAATAGACATAATTCGTTTGGTTGGCATAATGCAAATTGATTAAATAGTTTATTCTTGCTATATTACTAGGAGTGTTGGACACTCCTTACGATAATTCACAATTATTTTGTGGTGTTGGTAGTTGGTGCTAGATACTGAATTACTATTCGTCTATATGGCTAAGTATGGCGCAGGTCTGTGTTAAGATCGGCCAGTTTATCCATTAAAAGCCCTATTTTTCTAACCAAGTGCCTCTGTTTTATCAAAAACTTACAGAAAGCTTGTCGATTGGTCGACGGAAGGTTGATGTGTAGCCCTTCTGTAAGGGAACAGGAGGTTAGATAATGCTCCGGAGAGCCAGTCTGTCCACAGGCGCACTGGCTAGTGTTACTTATCCCGCGTTTGTTAAAGTACTCGGGAAATGGTCCGTGACCCGTAATGTATCTTACCAATTGCATGTTTGCAAAATTTTTGGTAGTGTCCACATAGCTGACATGGTAATAAGTCCGTCGGCCGGTATCGCTGTTATCCCATGTCTGCTGCCATTTCCCGATTGCCTTTAAGCGCAATGTTCTTTTCAGGTAAGACACTGGCCATGGGATGTTGATTTGTTGAGATGTTGCTTCTGTGACAGCTTCTTTGGCTAGATGGTCAGCCAACTCATTGCCGTGGTGGCCGGCATGCGCTTTGATCCATTCAAGTCTTGTATGGAGTTGGGAATTTTTTCGCAGATCTTCCTGTATTCCCAGACGGCCAACACAATGAAATCGCAAAAATGGTAAATGATATATGCCCAGGACTTCTGTTCACACTTTACCTTCACTTCCTTCGTGGAATGAATATCGCCAAAGTTGCCTTTTTCTCACATACGACAAAGATCTGGTCATTCCAACAGCTCTTAGACCAATATGCTCACTTCGAGCACTTATTAAAGTCTCTGAGTGCATTATAATGAGTCGCGTTCAACATCAACTCCCGCAATATAACCTAAATAATAATCTGTGATATGGCTTCAGATTACTCATCTCGACCGAAAACAATGTAGCTGGTTTTGTAAATCATAGCTTAACAAATCAAATTTAAGGACTTTTTTCATAGAACCAACTGTACACCCAAATGACAGAACAGAACCGGACACTTGCTTGTTAGAAATCCAATACGCAATTTCAAAACTTGGCACTAGAAAGACACCAGACTCAGAAGGCACAGACAATTAAATCATAAAAATGGTAAATGATAGTTACCGTTTTTGCGATAGTGATTTCTATTAGTATCGAAAACACTGTTTGCACTTACTCAAATTAAATACTCTAAATAAATTTTCTACCTTATATATAGTTACCTAAATAAAAGAAGGGTTTGTATAGCTGTGAATCCAAGAGTAGTCAAAGCGAAATCCACTCAAGTCTACTCACAGAATTATTCCTGATTTGGTCCGTTTCTCTGGAATCTAATTTACAACGCACTTCTGAAACTCTTCCATAAGAATTACGCCTACAGACGTATGCTTCTGACATTTCGAATTCTGCAGGAAGCATTTGAAAGGAAAAGCAGAAAAAGACTTTATAAACTGGGGAAAGGCCATAAGTTAAAATTAACTATTAAGAAGGAACAAGCCATTACGTTCTGGGATGAACGCTCTGAAATACGAATTCCCCGCATCAAAATAAAGAAACTCAGCAATCAGAATAGTAAATGAATTAGAGTATTTAGGCATAACAGTGGATAATACACTCTCTTGGCTTCTGCACATTTGAAGAATCAACAGAAAATTTCATAAATTAGTTCATTTATTTGCCAGAACAACTACTCTTGTATTGACAACTTTCACGTCTCATATTATGTTATGTGTATGTAGAGGTAAACGTAGTAGAATATGCTTCTATCAGATAACTTAGTCTAACACTTTCATGGAAAGAAAATTAAATTGTTTTTACAAAGGCTCTTGAAGTGATTGCACAAAGAGGTGGCACCTCTGCACTTTAAATTCTCACTGCCATTTCACTTTTGTAATTAGCAGTTCTGAAATCTTCAGTTATATACCGTGTCGTTCTCTGTCATCCAGAATGCTGAAATCTGGCAACACCTATTTATTCATTCGGCCTTTGAAAAGCGCTCAGCACTTTTATCACCACATCCTACCTACTCCAATAATTTCGAAGACACCTTCAAAAAAGCATCAACTGCCACTCATACTGCAGTATATAATAAAAATAAGAATAAAGATCAAATGCTGGGACTGGAAGTGCAGTTTGTGGTTTTCAAATTATAATCTTTCTTTTGCTTAGCAGCGTAAATTCAGTGTACATATCTTTCAGTGCAAACTTTTAGAAATTTCAGAGGCTATCACTAATGCACATAATACAATAAAAAATCAAAGCCACATATATATTAGGGGCGTTCAAATGAAAAGGTACGAAACGACGCTATGGATGTATTGAAGTCCTTATTGACGAGTAATCACCAGAGGCCTGATCGCAACAATCTCACTGTTTTACTAGCCAAGGATACCCTTTCGCCAGAATTCCTGTAGATGTGACAGGAGCCAGTTCTCGAGTCCGTCGTCAGAGTTGAAACGTTGCCCTTTGAGATGTCACTTCCCACTACGTTGTTCACCTTGTCAATGAGTTCGGCCGTGATTGCCGTGTTTGCCTCACCTGGTCTCGGTTCATCACTTAAACACTCTAGGCCTTCACGAAAATTGGTTCTCCACTTTCTCACTGATTTTTCGGACGCAAAGTCTCCCCCGTATAAAGCCACCACTGGCGATGAATATCGGCCGGTTTAACCCTTCCACAGTCAGAAATCTAATAAAACCTCGCTGTTCTTCAAACATCGAATTTTGCAATGTAAAGGGCATGATGTTCTCACACGCACTGCTGCATCAATTGGATGAAGGGCACAACTGCCTGCTTCTTTCATGCGTCATGTGCAGAAGCCTAACGCATGGGCACAACCATGCCGGACACTACCTTCGCGTCCTTTGATGTCTCACTACGTTAGGCGAAAGCGGCACACTCAAATTTCAACCCGTTTATTTGTTATGAAATTTTGTACCTTTTCATTTGAACACTCCTTATATATAGATTCACCATCTAGTATCGCAGTAATTGTTAAACCAAAATTTCAATAGTTAACATGTACAGAAAATCAATAGCCAGCTTCTTGCAGTGCTTTGGAATTGCCTTTGTTGTCCATATTTAGGATAGGTACCAGGACATTTGCGTATTTTAGCCAATAAGATGACTGATGAGCTTTTCTAACCATCTGGGCTTCCACTTTGAAACTCTCCCTACTTCTTATGATGCAAAGGCAAAATATCTGGTAAACTTCAGACGCTATGAGGAGAACTTATTTTCCGCAAGTAAAACTCCAAAGACGCAAGTATCACGCATTTCTTGATTAGCTATGGGCCATTCCCTGACTATCTACATCGGTTTATATTTCCCAAGTCATACATATTGTTGTTAGCTTAACTAACAACAATATGTATGACTTGGGAAATACTGGCACTCCAATCATTTTGTTATAATCCCTCACACAGTGTTTTTACCTAAAACGTTCTTCTACAGATCACCTCCAAGCTTAAGGTGATAACATTTTAAATAACCCTGATAAAATTGCCATGTGTAACATCCGGAGAACTCATCAAAAATTAACAACTTAGTTACCAAATTCTAGTCATTCCTTTGCTGTGCCAAAGTTTTCGTAATGATAATATTCATAAAACTTTTACAGTCCCTTTGTCTTTACTGAAATTCGGGACTTATTATAATAATAATTTAGCAGATTTCATATAGTTTAATGAGTGTAATGTATGCTTGTGCTTTTCTATTATCCTAACAAAATATTATATTATTGTAGTCCATTGTGTATGAATTTAATAGTATAAGGATAACGTAACAATTTTTGTTAATAAAATGTTTATGATAAAATACCAAAGGTAATAACTATATGTGTAAATCAACTTGTTTAAAACAAATATTTATTTTAAATTTTTCTTTAGGCTTCGGATTAAAAGAACCAATTGGTCATGTAGACTTTTATCCCAACGGAGGCCAAAAGCAGCCTTTTTGTTCAAATGCTACAGTTGAGATTATACCAGATTTTGTGAGTTATAAGAGCAGCGTTAATTTAATACAAGAAGTTAATGCTGACAGATTGCATTTTTCCGGTACTTTGAATATCTACTCATATATATATGATAAATTTTATTCACTTATGCCTAATTTCTTTGTTCCTAAATTTATAATGCAGAGATATTTTTCATTTTTCAAAATTTTGGATTATGGTAACACATACAAAGTTATCCGCCAAAGGAAGAGATACTTTAATAAAGGAATATTTTAGAGAAATTGGCTTGTACTCCTTACACCTGAGGCAAACCACGAAAATTCCCTTGCAGTTGGAATATTCGCCTAGATTTGAACTTAGATTTGAACTATCAGGTTTCAGGACTTTAAGATTCGGCCGCAGGTGGGCCTTAACCATGAAAGTTTAGAGTACTTTATTTACATGCTGAGTTATTTTAATTCTTCAAAAAAATTAAATATTATTCAAGCAAAGCTTTGTACCCTAAATTTACTGAATTATAAGCAAAAACGAACATGTGAAAAATAATTTTCCATGAAATATTTTAAAATACCTATTTGAACAAAATAATTAAATTTGATATGGCAATGAATACGAGGGTTATCTGCCCTTAGGGAGGGATGCCTTCATGAAGGGCCTTTTAAGACCTGGCTCATATCCACCTTACACATGGAGAAAGCCGTGCAGATGGTTACAGGCGGAAACATCGCGCATGATAACGACGCGGAGAAAACAACGCAAAGCGAAAACGTCGTCGGGCAAAACATCGTGAGAGAAAAGAAAGCAAAGAGAATAGCAGTTCTACAACATCGTCGTCCAAAATAAACTGATTGAAATACTTCACGGATTTAAAATATCATCTATGAAAATATTGCGGTAAAAATAAAACAACCGCAAATTATAGCATGATGATAATATTGCAGACATGTGTTTTTCAGACTTGTAAATGCATGTTCAGATAATGATTTGTGAGGGCAAGAATGAACGAGGAATATTTTTACTTTTATATTTTTGAATTAACTAATAATTTTTTGCTTATAATAAAAAAGGACACTGAAGCATTCAAAAACTAAAAATGAGTAGAAAATTAATGCTACTTCAGTTAACATAATTTTATAATACGATAATTAAACAATTATATAGAGGTTATATATATTATATGCAGTTACTCATCTTATTTTGTCTAATCTTTCTTAGACTGTATTTCTCATGAAAAATTACCAGCAAAACTTTATAAAAAATAATAATTAATTAACGACCTTTGTTAGTTAACTGTAAAAGTTTAAAATTCTTTTATCCTCTATATCTAGAATTACTTTTCTACTCAATTTCTGTTTTTGATTCTTATATTTTCTTCTTATTTTTTCAGCAAAACTCTTTTAATTAATTCAAGAATATAAAAATAAAGAAATCCCTCATTCCTTCTTGCGCTCACAAATCATTTTTAAAGCCTTAAAACGCATGTATGCGACGTTATCGTAGTATGATGATTTTCATGTGCTTTATTTTTCACCACGATATTTTCGACGACATTGTTTTAAACTGCGAAGTTTTTGAACTGCTTTACTTTTTTGATGACAATGTTTTATACTATGATGTTTTAGAACTGCGGTATTTGCTCTTTGCTTTCTTTTCTTCCACGATGTTTTGAACGACGATGTTTTCACCATGCTATGTTTTCTCCGCGACGTTTTCGTCCCCGATGTATTTGAAACGATGTTTCCTTCGGATACCCATACATACAGCCCTTCGCCGGTATTGAAGTTTCAGAGACATTCCTTTTAATAGCAATCAGTTGCAGTATATATACATAAGTATGCATGTGTTTTGAATAAGGCTTGTACTTGAACATCCTTCTTCAATGAAACCAACTGTTCTTACATCATAATATCAAGATTAAATTTATCACAGCTCAGGGGTTCTATGAGCCATGCTGGCATATTCAAATTTTCAATGTCCTAGAAGCGAACATTAAAATCTTCTAAATTTTGTAAGAGGCTTGTATATAACAATATACACTCTTAGACAAAAGAAACGACGCACCGAGAAGATATAAAGCAAATTGGACACAAATTGATATGCATACAGGTTTCGAGAGAAAATGCAAAATTTTACATTTTGACTGCCAATGAATGAACGGTTGTTGCTACAGCGCATCTGATCTGCGCAACTGGCAGGTTATTTAAGAGGAGAAATTAGGATTCCAGGTCATAAACTCTTCACGAATTTCATTCCGTGTACTCTGGTAGACAGTAACTATGCTTCGCACACAGGTGCGCGAACGATATGCGCAGATGTCAGAATTTGAAGAAGGTCGTGTAGTTTTCTCAAAGAATCCGGGTGGTCTTATCGACGAATAGCTCGACATTTGAGCAGGGGCGATACCACTGTCAGATGATGTTGGCAGGAATGGGTGAACCATGGCAGCCCACAGCGTCAAGAAGGAAGCGGTAGGCCTAGAGAAACGACAGAACGTGAAGACCGAACAGTCGTCAGAGCGGCACTCACAGCCCCAGATGCATCATTATCATCGCTTATACGTGCAACTAGTGCTTCAGTGCTCTCACGGACCATTCATAGACGGCTCACAGAAAGAGGGCTGAGGTCACGTCAAGCCCGTTTGCAGTGGTGTCGCGCTCATTTGCACTGGAATGTCACTGACTGGAGTAGAATAGTCTTCAATGATGAGACCCGCTTTGAACTGATCCCCAATGACCAGCGAAGGCAAGTCTGGAGACGCCCCGGACAGCGGTGTGATACCAACCTGACTGTCTTCCAGCAGAATGGCCGACAACCAGGAGTAATGATCTGGGGTGCCATTTCATTTCATAGTAGGACCCCTTTGGTTGAAATCCGTCGCAACCTTACAGCACAGCGATACGTCGATGAAATTCTAAAGCCTGTTGTGTTGCCCTTCATGTCACGCCACCCTGGGCTTACATTTCAGCAAGATAATGCGCGCTCCCACACTGCACATGTTTCTGCTCCTTGCCTTAATGCTTGCCGAACATTACCTTGGCCAGCAAGGTCGCCGGATCTATTTCCTATTGAGCACGTTTGGAGCATTATATGCAGTGCCTTCCAACCAGCTCGGGATGTTGAGGATCTAACGCACCAGTTGGACAGAATTTGGCACGATATCCCTCAGGAGGACATCCGCAACCTTTATCAAACGATGCCAAGCCGAATAACTGCTTGCATAAGGGCCAGAGGTGGACAAACGCGTTACTGACTTTTTCACTTTGTAAAGCTCTATCACTTCAATAAATCATCAAATTTTTCTCAAACTTTAATCATTTGTTTTTCTGTACATGTACATGACTTCTGCTGATTTTCGTCCCATTCGGATAACTCCTTTTTTGTGTGTCGTTTTCTTTGTCTAAGTGTGTATAAGTCTTTTTGCAAAAGGCTTCTATATAACAATACATAAGTCTTTTTGCAAGAGGCTTGTAAAGAACAATATATAAGTCTTGCTTTTTTCGTATTTTTTCTTTTGGGTATGTTTTATGTTCCAGCGCTTAATTTTTATATGTAGCATATTTTACATACAAAATTTGCACATTGACAAACTTTTATTGATTTTTAGTATATTATTAATTAACTTTTGCATATTTTCCTATTAGTTATTGATTATATATTTTATATGATTTCCTCTTGACTACATAATATGGCCTTATATTAATAAACAATTAATTGGTAATTTTCAATATAGTTAATTATTTACAAATCAGTGAGATTTTCATTATACCGAACAATTGCCTTTGCATATTAAACCATCGACCCCCAGTCGATCTCTTCATCATCACTGATCCCCATTAAAATTTCATGGACCATGAGGGATGACTAAAGAGCCCGTTGAAAACTCCTGATCTAATGTCTAGAATCATTCGATTGGAATGACTGATTACATTAATGCAATTAAAAAAGAAGTAATATCGGTTTGTTATTAAACACATTAAATATCGTTATAAAATTTTATGTGCTGAACACAATGAAATTACACTAACTGAACCTGTTGACATGGGTAAGAAAGGTTAATGTTTTCGGTCCAAAAATTCAGTTAAAGTTAGTTTTCAGTGAATAACCAGGAATTAGGGTTCCCTTAACGTGTTAAAGTAACACGTAACACGTAAAAATATATGAACACGCGTTTACGGTTTTCTACAATGATGTCTGTGTATTTGCATGTATGTGACGATTTTTTCGTCGGCGATATTTCATATATAAAACTTGCAAAAATTAATATTTTCCTTTTATTATAATATATTATTTTATTATAATATATTATTAGGCTTTTGCGTTCGTATAAAGAGATGATTAAATTTTGGGTAAAATTAGGCAGCTGTAAATTAGGCAATTAAATGCATGCTTGGAATTATACAAGCAAGCAGTATAATAATAATCTCATTTATGAAGGCAGCAAGAATAATCTCATTTATGAAGACGAGCTCAGCAATTAAATAAATGCATTAGCTTCAGTCCTCAATTTTGCGTTCGTTTCGTTTTTGTCTCGAATCACTTTTCAAATAAAAAGACGCTACCATCAACTGTTATTGCAATGAATTATTTTTAAGGAAATATATGGCAACACGAACACTCTATCATGAATTCTAAAGGTATACTGCTTTTAAAAATGTTCTAATTTTTTTAGTCATTGATTTGTGAATCCGAAACACTATATTACCAGAGCATATATACACTACGATCGATGCGATATTTTTAAATCAAAATATGGGAGATGATATGTACATGAGTTTATAAAATTATTATTGTACATTATATGGGAGAACAGAATAATAAAATTGAATAGTGTATATAATTATGATTGAGCTATGAAGTTTATAAACAAATTAGAATTTATTTACCCCCCAAACGATCAAATGAAAGTGATAGTTTACTGAAAGCTACTAAAGGTTTCTGTTATTCGTTGATAACGATCGTGTGCTGGCCACATCAGACTTTTTCTCTTCCTCTTTTAAAATAACAGTTTCAATCGATTGGCCGCATATGAGGCTAGTAAGTATACATCATTTACTGTTCACATTAGCAATAAATGGAAATGTCTCTCTACAGCTCATTTTATAAGATAAAAAGGGAACAAGTCCTATTTTTGGAAATGCTGTTTGCATTTCTTCAATTTTAAACTACAAATGCAACGAGATACAAAATAGATTTTGGATATTTCATCGCATTCTGATCGATGTATATCAGTTGCTGAACTGTAATTTCAGTAGATACGAGATTTTAAAATGTTAAAGCAAAGGCTTCTCAATCAAACATTTTAACTTCTTTCGATATAATTGACGTGACAGTCATAAGAATTTCATATATTTCATAATCATATATTTACATAATCATATAATACACATCATATCATAATCATATATTTGACTTCAGTACTACTATGCATCGCAAATATTCATCTGCTTGCCTTTTACAACATTTCAAATTCTCAAATTTGACGAAAAAGAAGTTGCCTTTATTTTAGTCTTTCGTTTTCCTTGCACTTTAGGTCTATTGTTCCAACTCAGTTCTTGATCAAGAACTGAACAACTATTTAAAGCTGGGTAACTAGCAAGTAGCTGAGACTTTTCACTTATCATTATAAACCAAGAGGTTTAAAATGTTTTATTTCAACATAATAAAAAGCTTCCTCTCATTTTGAGATATTATAAGAACTCGGTGCCATTCCTTACGAACCATCGATTAGCTATAGAATTTCTCGTATTTTACAGAAGTTTAACTTTCCTATTATTTTTTTCTGCTATGAATAAATTTCACAGTTTGTTACTTAAAAGTTCCATTCCAGATGTGAATTCCTGGGTATATACAGTATTCTTTGCTAACCTGGTTTAATATATATAGAACTAAGAGAGCCTTAAAATGTTTTTCTAAGGAGCATGATATATGTGGAGAGAAAAATAAACACATAAATCTTCTGCTGCACAATATCTGTTAAAAAAATTACAGTTCTATTTCTCTGCAACCAAAATTATTCAGAATACCGATTTCGTTACCGGCCTAGATTTCATAGAAACGTTTATATTCACAAAAATCATCTGAGTCCTTAAATATTTGTTAAAAAATTACATTGCGCAACCGTATCGCCTGTCATTCCTGTTTAATTAGCCTTTGCGTCTAACAGAAGATGCTTGTTTCTGAATTGTAGAATTATTTGAAAGTTCTGATACATTTCAAACAAAAATAAGAAAGTTTGGACAAGGCTAAATGTGAATAGTATGCATGAAGAGGAATATGAAAACTGTCCTCATGTAATTAGAGTGATTTATAACTTGACTGCAGTTACATGCAGTCCAACATTTCATTGTATTTTATGCTGCATCACTGAATAAATCAACGATGCGTAAGAGCATCGTTATTATATTGATAAAAACAATGTTACTCACTGAAAACAATTCAGTTAATATATGATTGAATGAATCTCTTATATTTTATTCAAGATGTTAGCAAAATATTTGAATTTATAAATTTATCATGAAATGGACTGATGCTAGTGTGGCTTGGTTGTGTAGGGGTATGATTCGTGCTTCGGGTGCACGAGGTCCCGGGTTCAAATCCCGGCCAATCCCAACGTTGAAAATGAATTTTGCAGTTTAAATTCTTTTTAAAGTGAAATTCTTTAGAAGTACAAAAACCGGAATTTTGATTGTGCGATTATGCGGTTTCTATTCATCGCATAAAAAAATGCTTTTTAACTGTGTTGCGAAAGCTACTTTTATACCTACACTCAAATGCGTTGAACAGGGACTGCATAATCGAACAGAAAAAGAGAGCAGAAAAACAGGTTTGTGTGTCCATACAAAATGCAGCAATGTCAAGGAATTTCCAGATTATTAATATTAAAAAGTTACTTTAAAATTAATCGTAAAACAAAACAAAAAAAAAACCGAATGGTTTTAAATTACGTCCAGAGGGGCGTTTTTGTGTATTACCTTTATTTATTAAATATCATGTTCCCCTTACTCAAATCATAAAATGCAGTTTAATAGGAATGTCGCAAAATAATAATTTTAAAAGGAGCGTATCCCTAGAATTTCCGATATAGATTCTCGCGCGGTCGAGATAATTTTGTCTTTCAGTGCTACCATTGCTCTCTTTGAAATCATTTAGTTTTTTAATAAAAATTCGTTGAAGTATTAAAAAATATGAAATCGATAATAAAACAAATTTCAAATTCAAATTAGGGCTTCCACATGCCTATATTCTATGAAAGATTTCCTAATTAAAATTTTGATGGCTCTAGGTATCGTTGTTTTATCACAATGTGAGACGCGTACACCTATTCATCAGATTTTTCATTATTTAATTTCTTTAAATATAATACAGGAAGATAATATTTGGTGGCAACAATTTGAAAAGTGAAACAACGCTTATCATGAATCGACGCAATATGCCAAAACGAAATTAATAGTCCCTCTCGGCAAACTGCCCCTTTGGATTAATGATATTGATGGCATTTTCTTCGATAGGGCTTTAGGAAACGACATATACAGGGTGCGGCAGCGTTCATAGTAGTATATTAAAAACACACCATAAGCCAGTAGCTGTAATATATTTTAATACCACTTAAGTCAATTAATAGTTAAAGGTATGCCATTTACTAATGTGTAAGTTATTGTCCATTGCGTGGATTACTTTTTGAATATAATGCCTGTCACTTGATGCCCCCACTGCACAATTCATTCATCTAGGCGGGGTCGGAAGCTTGCCATAACTCGGTGTAACGAATCCCTGGAACATTGCCGACGGCAGTTCTGATGCGATCCTTCAACTCAGGAATGGTGGCACAACGTATTCGGAAAACTTCGTGCTTCAGGTGGCCCCAAAGGAAAACGTCTGCACATGAAAGATCAGGTGAGCGAGGCGGCCAGGAAATGTCACCAAAACGGGAAATTACTCTACCTGGAAGTGTCTGTTGCAATGGTCCGTCCATCTGGAACTTTCTCATGATGTCCCAAGTTGAAATGTTGCCTAAATAGACGCTGGGTTGCAATAACAGAGTAGTTATTCTTGAAATAACTTTCAATAGCAAAAGGCACGATGCTGTGCACTCCACCGATCCATACCATTGTCACACTTAAAATGGCAGCATATTAGTATACGAAAGCGGCACAAGCTTGCGCGCATTCATGCAGTACGTCATTGTACTGCGCAAGTCAAATAACGCTATGAACGCTACTAGCACCTTGTATTAGAAAATTGATAAAGAACTTGTTTTTTTACTGTTTTAGGTAATTACATAACTTCCAGAGTGCCAGGATATTAAGCACTGAATCGAAAGTTTTTTATGGGTATTAGGAACGCTGAATATTTGATTGATATGCTGAATGTTATGTATATATGATTCGGTTAAATTTACAAGAAAGTGAAAGACCAAATTTACGAAACGGTTTGATGCATTCAGTTTCGAATGCAAGCACTGCTTTAAAATATTTTAAACTTTTATCAGTTTTATAAATTTACAATGATAATAGGTATCAAAAGAAATTCCTTAAGAAAATGTTTTGCTTTGCAAGCATATGATTTTAAAAGTTCTGCATATTTTAGAAAAGTGAAAATGCACGTCCTGTATAAATTAAGAAAAGGAGTAGGTAAGCACTTTTTTCCTAACGTCCTTATACTAGTGAAATTAGGATGTTTGACGTTATAGCAGACTGCAGAACACCATACAAGCAGAGAAATAAAATACCCCAGTGTAGGGAAAGAGGATAAGCTATATATCCTACTGTGTAAATTTTCAATATATACAAGCATAGGAAAATCATATCGACTCACAGGAAACCTGGATGGTACGCTGGAAGTTTTTAATTAACATAAATTAATCAACTGCAGTTACGTTCACCAGGCAAAAGAAATTTAGTAATCATCTCCGTATTTACGAAACCACATTACCCTGAGCTAAGCTTGTCATATCTCAGGGTGATCCCAGACGAACCCCCCTCACCTCTCACACATACACATTTTACTGTCGAGATGTCCTGGACACAAAATGTAGGACTCTCTCTCTTAAATACCCGAAACAGTGTATTTTAAAATCTGTTTAAATCTATCTGGACTGGCCTCAAGTGTTTTGCGAAGCTGCAGCATCAGCAATGAAGATGTCAAGCTTATTCTTCTTGAGTGCATTCGTCATGTAAGGGAGAGGAAGATATTCAGGCAACTTTGAAGCACCTGTCTGTATCTTGGCCTCCAATTTTTTCTGAACTTTTTCGCACTAAAGAGACAGTTTCTGCTTTTCGAAATTTTATTATAAATTTTGACTATTGAGTTATCATTACTTTATTACTTTTTATTTCCTTTTATTTTTCTTTCTTTAGTATTTTATTTAGTCCAAAGGAGGCTTTGTCCCTGAAGAACTACTGTTGTCGTTTTTCGATTTCGTGTCGAAACCCTATGAACGGCGTATCACTATTCAAATTGTTGCCACTAAATTTAGAGTCTTGTATTATATTTGAACAAATTAAATAATGAATAATCTGCATAAATGTATGTATGTTTCTCGCATTGTGATAAAACAACGGTGCGCGGAACTGTGTATCGGAAATTCTAAAGATATGCTCATTTTAAAATTATTTTGCGACATTGCTGTTCAACTGAATTTTATGGTTTAAGTTCAAGGAACATGATATTTAATAAATAAAGGTAACACAAAAAACGTAAAAACACGCCCCTTTGGACATAAATTAAATTTGAAACCTTTTAGATTTTATTTATTTATTATTTTTACTCATTTGCAGTACTACTGTACATTTGTTTATTTTGTTAGTGGTATTACTTACTTGTGTAAGTCTCGTGGTACACTTTGCGGAGTTCTAAAAAATTAGAGTTTAAAAAAAATCGTAATTTCGTTTACACATTTTGCGTTGATTCTCTGTAAGCGACTTTCCCCTTTTCAAATTCTTGCTACCAAATATTAGAGCCCAGCATTACATTTAAAGAAATTTAATAATGAAGAATCTGCATAAGGCATGTATATTTCTCGCATTGTGATAAAATAACGGTACCTAGAGCCATCAGATTTTGAATAACGCACGTCTCCATCCGAATACAGGCATCTGAAAGCCCAAATTTGGAATTTGTTTTATTATAGATTTCATATTTTGTAAAGTTTTAATGAGTTTTTAGGGTTAATTAAGAAACTCAACGATTTCAAAGCGAGCAATGGCAACACTGTACGGGAAAAAAACATTTTTATCTCCTGAGCGAGAGATAGTGTTTCGAAAAATTTAAAGATATGTTCATTTTAGAATTATTTTGTGATATTGCTGCTGAATTGAATTTTATGGTTTAAGGGCGAATAACGTGATATTTAATAAATAAAGGTAGCACAAAAAACATTAAAAAACGCTCCTTTGCAAGTAATATAAAAATCTGGTAGCTTTAATTTTTTTTATTTTTCTTTATTTTATAATTAATAACTTATTTACTGAATTTGCCTTACTTTAAAATATTATTTATACAATGTGCTAAAGACTAAAAATTATTATTAAAACTTTCAAAGCTTAAAAATTTGATGTATCATAATTGTTATTTTTCCAACATTAGTCTTTTTCACCGGCTTTGTTTCACTATTATTTTTATTTACTAAAAGGTCTTAACAAATATGATTCGTATCTTAATTGGCACTACAGTCTGTTCCTTAAAATAGGAATTTCAAGGCCGTTGTCAAGCCTTCCCATTTGCGATCGTATCGCGTGTCGCTATTACCGCATAGCAATTAATTTCTCCTCCACATGTGAGACTGTCAGTTAGCCTTAATTCTCATGTTTCTTTTAAAGCAAAACACGTAAAAGGGGAATGAAGTGGGGCATGAAATAAAGTGATTATCATCTGTAGCAGCTATCTTTTCAATCATTACAAAGGTCCAGGCGGCAGAAAACGATCCTAGGTTATTTTTCAGATTGACAAATACTTCTGAAGGATTGGAGTTATCTAAATGGAGTTGACGTTAATTATAACCTTCGTCCAATGTAGCTACCATTTTATAATGATGATCAGAGTATAAAATGATGATGAAAGAGTTGATCGAAAAGGATCAAGCATACACTCCTAAATAAGCAAATCGGTTGACAAACCAAGCAACTACTGCAAATAATGTTCTTTTTCCTTTTGCATCATAACGAACATCAGCTGTATAAAACATACTGCTGCGTTCTACGGGTTCGTGGATAACACTTGATGAAGAATCAAAACACAACTTATTCGCCAGTTAGCACTATTACATCGAATAGGTTTATGTGGTTCGGTTTATGTGATTAAGGCAAAGCCCCAACGTCCTCCACGAAAGCGGGGCTATCTTCCTAAGGGAAGTGATGCCTTCGTGGAGGACGTTCTAAGGGGAACTGCGTCATATACATGTTACATATAGGAAAAACCACGAAAACGCACATGCAGTCATCCCGTTCGCGGAATTAGAACCTCAGATCGAAGTACCAGTGTTCAGTGATTTTGCAGCTCGGCTGCTGGTTATGCAGGAAAATCATTTTATATTCGTCGATAAACTACAATAAACGCTCTAAACAATCAGCAATACAGCCTTCAAGCTATAACGGCGAAGGCACGGCGAAGCACTAAAGTACAGCTCCGCACTCAAGCTAACCTCTGAACTCAAGACATACTTTCTTTCCATACAAGCAGGATATCTATAGCTTTAACCTACCTTCGAGAATATTTTCCAGGGAACCGCTAAGAATGCGTTCTAGAATTTTCTCACTTCGTCTCTGACATATCGCCAATTTTGCCTCCAAATCGGGATTTCGAGCGAAATCTTGCAAACCTGGTTTCCACTTTCTAGCAACCCTAAGCTCGCCTGTTTTGCGGAGAAGCTATCTCACTGCTCAGCCGCTTCGCAATTGTACTACAAAGAAAAGACGAACAAAGGAAATCACTAGTTAAATAACTATTTGTTTAAAATCGGAATATTTATTGCCTACTGCTTTTAACAGCGCAGCTTAAAAACTGAAAACAAAATGGATTGAATGGAAAACAGAAATTCTGTGTTAAGTTTGATACTGGAAATTACAATTATTTATAATATTTTTAATAATATTTATCGTAAATTTAATTTTTGTACTTTCTTTTAGTGCTTGAGAATATGGGAGATCTAATATGTAGCCATTACAGAGCCTGTGATTATTTCATTGCCACTATAGAAGATCCAGACTGCAAATTAGAATCTTTGTCCTGCTACAGCTGGGAATCCTATTTTCAAGGTTTCTGCGGATCTTGCGAAAACAACGCGTGCATAAGGATGGGATTTTATGCAAACCTGGACGCGTATGACCTAGAAAATGAGAGCCCTTTAAAACTCTTTCTGGGCACGAAACCCTCTCCCCCTTATTGTTATCCGGAACTTTCGAACTCTCTCTCAGGATATCTGTCTGTTAACAAAATTGCAGTTGAAGCAATTTATCGATTTAAGTTGTGAAAATTTTATGTTCAAGTGAATTAAGATATTTTATGCATGCATTTTTAGATCGAAAGGAAAATAAATAATGCCATAGAGTATTTCTTGCTTAATTAGGTATTACTTGACTTAGTTATAATCTAGCATGAAAATGCAATACGAAATTAAAACTAATTTATTTAATGTATTTAGTTAAGCACAAAGTTTTATGGGTTTTAATTACGTTTGATTTGTAACAGCAAACTAGACAGTGATGAATTAAAAGAATAACCCACATCTACAATACTTTTACCCAAAAGTCACAAAACATAACACTACAATAGTAATGACAGAAAAGGTAAACCCAAGTAGTACAGCAACGTCGTAACGAACGTTGCAAACTCGTCGCGGATGTCGTTGCAAAATCTCGTCTTTAAATTGTCCAGATGTCCACGAAACTTCACTGTTTTGCAACCGTTGCAAATGAGGTTTTTGTCGCACAGACGTCGTTATTGCGTCTTTCATAAGTTATATGTCGGTTGTGAAAGCATCGTATCACAACTTCTTAACGACGCCTAAATGTTCGCAAAATCTAACCTTTTTGCAACAGTTGTAAAAGCGTCGTTATTATGTCCTTGCGTTACATATTGATTTATGCAGAAAAATAAGCTTAATAATTAATGTATTTTTCTTTTTTTTTTTTAATTTTGTATTCTTTTTTATTTTTCTAAATTTTAAATATTTTATCATTTCCTAAATAACCGAAGAAAATAATTTTTTCTCTTTAGAATATATATGAATAATTAATAATAGCCTTAATTATTTTCAGTACTTTAAACTATATTTTTTACGTAAGTTAAGTTCCAAGTTACGATTATTTGCTATTTCATCACTTTTTTCCTTAACCCTTTAGTATGTAAGTGAGAGTAATTAAGAAGTTGGTTATTATAAATATATATCATTAATAGTAGGTTTTAGGTTAAAAAAAAAAAAACTCAATCAGAGATAAATAAAAGTAAAGATATATATGTGGGTAAAATATAAGCGTTTCTGATTATAACAGCATTATCACATTTATTTCTGTTAAATCTCAGAGACATTGAAAATTGCTCCTGTCATGACAAATTAGGAAACGGTTTTTAGGTAATATAATCAATATTTTACCTGAACTCAAGTATAAATTTATTCGCGTTTCGTAGTAAAAAATATAGCCATTATCTTCTATATCTCCAATATATACAAATGAAACGCTCTATGAAGTAGTTAATAAATGTGATCAAAATATTTCATACAAAAATATACCCAAATCTAATAACCAGAAAAAAATTCCCATATTCATATCTAAAATGGAATAATAATCTAACAAACAACATACCTTGGCAACACTATTTAAGAAAAAACATGAACTAGCATTGTTTGAAAGTATGAATAGCAGAAAGGAGGTAACAGAACTAAAATTTCCAATTAATAAAAAATTATTTGTACATTTTGAATAGTAAGGAATTAAAAGTGCAATAATTATGGATTGCAGTATTTATTAGTAATGCTGATGTTTCTTAACACCATTTCTTTCGATAATATGTTATTTTGTGTATTTACTTATTTTTAGTTTCTACATTTTAGAATAGTGGTAGATTACAATGATTATTTCATGCACTTATTATAATCAATAACTTTCTTTTTGTTACTGTACAGAAATAATTTAAATAATATAGTATACGATGGTAAGCTAAGTAACTCTTTGTTAAATAGCACACGATGAAACTTTTTGTTTCAATTTATTATGAATTTCTTTGTCATCACAAGCACATAAAATGTAAGCGAATAAAATAGAATATACTTAAATTTAATAAAAAATAAAACCTAATTTCCAACATTCATTTATTGAGATCATCTAATAAACATACATAACGGCAATAGAGTATACTTTATTGCAATAAAAAATAAAACCTAATTTCAAACATTCATTTATTGAACTAATCTAATAAACATACATAACGGCAATATTTAAAAAAACGCAAATTACACAGTGTTTGGAAGAACAGATGCCAAACGAAAAGTAATAAAACTGCAATTTGAAATCAATAAAAAATATTTAGTGTTTTTTTAATATTACACAATTAAATATCACGTAATTATAGATTACAATATTTCATAGTAATGCTAATGTTTCCTTAACACTATTTTTGCGATCATTTATTTCATAAACTATTTAAAATCATTAACCTTTTCTTTCTATTTAAAATCATTAACCTGTTTATGAAATGAATGATTATACAAAAGACAACGTACTATAGAATGTGCATTATTATTAATTTTAATGTATTGGTTCTTATTATTACATATATCTAATTCATCTTCAGTCGTACTGAGTACTGGTACCAGTCCAATAATTTCTTTGTATTTTGAAACAAATGAACATGCCGTAAGAGCTTGAATTGTTGCTTCTGTACTGATTGCATTTTCAGCAAAACCAGAATATGCCTTACACTTGTATGTTAATTTTGGTTTTATACGAATTAATTCTGAGAACCAACCTTTCAATATGAATACAATAATCGATTAAAATGAATGATATACGATATAGCACTTAGCACGTTATAACGGAAGCACAAAGTTAATCAGGGTATCCAAGTAATGCACCGCTGGAACCACAGAGATTGCAGAACACCATCACATAACTTTTTAATCACCGTAAAGCAACACTATATTCGTGATTAGCATTGTAGCATTTCTTGTAGAGTAGATATTCACAAACAAAATAAGCACAAATTTAGCATTCTCATGAAAGTTTCAATTCAGAGGCTTCCAAACAGGAGTCTATAGCAATGGAACTTCACTCGCTGAAGGCAGTTGAAGTAAGTAGTTAGTGTTATGGTGCCTTTTAAAGAGGGGCACCACAACCCCAAATTAAATTTTCCTAAAATCCTACCCTAACTAAACAGAATTGTGTGGAAGAACCGCTACAACTCCGTGTAGGTGACTAGAGAGCAACATGAGTAATGATTAAACAAAACATAGAATTGTTATTTCAAGGAAAACTTGATATTTATTAATCAATGGGAGAGTACTTCATAAACATTTAACCTATTTAAATCATAAATATAAATATATATATATATATATATATATAAATATTTTCCATCCAGATGAAATAACAAAAATGGAGGATATATATATAATTTGGGTTTGCAACCTTTAACTCTATTTAGTTTAACAATTTTCACGTTAGTAGAACAAATTATTTTCCAACATATTGCACATAAAAACCAATCAAAACATAGCATTTAACAAAGTTCCTAGAAGGTTCATACTATTGCACGAATTTAATTTTTAATAAATATTACTTTATCAGTGGTACTTGAAAGTCGTGTCAATTTTCTAAGCCTTAATAATTAAATAACTTGAAATAAATAATTAACATTTCTTTAGGTATAGTTAGCTCTTAAGCATTAAAACAAATTGGGTAATAATTAAGGTTTTGGATTAGAAAATTATTCATTTTGATCCACCTACAGCTCTATAATAGTGGCAAACTAATTGATGGTTAAAGCTAATAAAGGAAATTACTTAATACTTCCTACATAATAATTTATTGAACGCGTATAAGTAGTAATGAACAAAACAAAACATGTCTAATTCTATGGAAATCAGACTTTCAGAAGAAATTAAGATGAGAATTAATTAATTAGGATTTAAGAAACTAGAATTTTCGTAAAGATTTGACTTAACTGATTCGATTACTTGAAACACGGGGCAGCTAGAAGCAGGAACAACTTTAAGCCAGGAGCAGAATTACTGTACAGAAGCCTGATGAGAAGAACCGAAAGTTCTAGAGTACCGCTTATATGACCTGCAACTTTAAGGACAGCTTCGATGACAGGTAGCTTTAAGGACATGCGGCAGGCACGGTTCTACCTCAGTTATTGAAGACGCTCAGCAGAAAACACACTGAAGATCAGAACCTCCTTTGGACCTCTTCTGGGACAAGTGACATTCCACCGCTCACATTTCTTGGATATTAAAGAAACCTCATAAGGAGCCCATTCGAAAATTAAAAACAGATATTTAACGGTTGAGTCGAAAAAAAGATTTTAACTGTTAAGGACCATTGTAGATGTAAAGTGATTGAAAAGTGAATCTGCAACCAGTTGAAGAATTTAGCTAATCAGAACCATAATTATAGGCAAAGATTTGAGTGGTCAAGTAGATTATAAATTTTTTATCTTTCCTTCACAGTTCACGAAAGTAGATAAATGTCCAAAAGGACCTGCACAGCCACTTGGGCGAACGGCCCCCATAAATTCGGCGAGAAGCATCTCAAACTCCCAAAAAGTCGAAGGCATATCCAGTCTGATTTCCATAGAATTAGACATGTTTTGTTTTGCCCTTATCTTTTCGTCGTGTACATCATGCGAGAGCTAGTAAAAAGTGTGCAAAATGTCACCCGGAAATCATCCCGTTTAAGCAAAGTTACCATCGCCGCCAATACACGCTCAAAATTGTCACAAAATCAGTTTTTACAACCACCGCCTCACGCTATGTAAAATTTCTCATTTCCGCGGCGTTGAACTAAACTCAAATTTAAACTGCGCCAAATTCTCGCCAAGCCTGGAACATTTGCGAGGTCGAGCTGGCAAATATAAATTCACCCCGCCGGAAATCACCTAGCAGCGTCCAAAAATCTTGTTAAAAACTGTGTTTTTTATCGTTTTTTACAATTTCAACCCCCAAAACTTTTCACACAATGGAAACTGTTAATTTTCGTTAAATAAATTACCATATCTAAGTATGTTAAAGCTAGAATCTTGAAAGTGATCTTAAATTAAGGAGCTATTTTTTCTGCTTCTAGTGGTATAAATTCATGATGGTTAAACTTAAGTACTATAAAATCAAGTTTATTACTTAGAAATTCACCCGATTCCATTGTGTGTTTCAGCACGTTTACGAGTAAAGAGTAATAAAACATTAGTTGTTTTCTCGGAATTCTTAAAATCGCCCCATTTTTATCCTTGAATATATCTTCATGCACAATCACATCTTAGCCAATATTGTACTTTTTGCACTGTATGCGCTAAAATGTTTCATATTATGTCAGCATATTAATTCAAATACTAAATAAAGGCATATTTCAGTAGTGAAATAATTGCTAACATGCGATTTGCATTGATTTTGGAAATATGATTTTTTAAAATATATAAAATACATAACATAATAACTTACTTTATAGATAGTTTCATTTTTAAATATTTTGCTATAACATTTGTAAAAATATTTTAAGTATTAATTATTTTAACAAAATTCTAAACAATTATTTAGCACGTATTTTTAGTACTAATTAAATTTAATAAATCTAAAGTATTTATATTAAATTTATATTTTATTAGATGAATATACCTTAGATTAATTATATTTAGATAAAATAAAGTAATGTAACATTGCAAAATAAATCTTATGCGGACTTTAGATTCTTGAAAGGGCAGATTTAATCTCTTTTCATTCTAAAAGTAACGATGATGAACTATGAAAGAAATGCTAAAACGACCAAGTCTTTTAGTCTTTTTAATATAAATAGCTTGCACATTATCAATTGCCCCCATATGACTTTACGTCGTTGAGATTGTTATCAAAATGTTGTTAAATTCACCCAAAATATGAAACACACAATTAATTTATCAATATGTGTTCAAAATTTGGTTATTTAGATACAGCCATTTTTCCACAATGTGAAGAACATGAATACATACAGGTTCTTCATTATTTAATACTGAGTTAATCCCACACGTGTGCTGAACATTCTCTGAACTGATGCGTCTACGTAGAGTAAGATTTTTAAATAAGTATCTAACATTTACTTTTAATAAACTTTGCGGATAAAAAATAATTTGCATATTACTAAATACTTTATCAATGTTTGTGCCTTTTAATATAATTAAAAAGATATTTATGACTTTATATTCTACATACCTGTGCTTTATATATTTTGTCTTTTCTTCATTTGGCAAAAGTAATGGGAAACGTGCAGTATTAAAATACGAGAATTTAAATACTTCGATTATTCAAAGAGCTATGTATATACTATCTTGGAAATCATTACGGAACTCTAATCCATTTTAGGATCCATATCTTTAGCTCAGAGTTTTAATCTCAAAATTAATGCGAAGCATAAGACAATGCATCTATTTATTAATATGGAGCACATATTAATGGAGAGGCTAATATTTTTTCTCACAATGTGGAGAGTTGTTTTTTTTCATCTATAATCTACAAGGGAGAAGCAAGCTTCGAGCAAATGTATTGTTCTGTTTGTGAAAATGTACTGCATATCATTTCCTGAAAAAAGATTTTAACATATATTGACTGCTAATATGATTGGCTGTTGGTTACAAGGGTTTCGATTTTTGCACGACTTTGTTAAACCTTGAATATTTTTTTGTTACAAATTCCAAAAATCTGGTAAGAAATATTTCTCCTGCACTTGTTTTACAAATGAAACTGATGAAATGTCACTTTCATATGTGAAATAGCAGCTGGTTTAATTCTTTATTTATAATAAAAACTCAGTTGTTCCTTCTTGATTCACATCTTTAACAAATGATAATCTAGAAAGATGGTTGGATTTGTATGGGGCATTGTGTTGTATTTTATAGCTACTGTTAATGGAAAAGCAATTGAAGATACAGTAACAGGTATTATAAATTTTCCTATTTGATTATAAAAATATTGTCAACTTTAAAAATTTAGAGGAAAATTTTTACAGTTCATTTTGTGTTAACTATGTTCCCTCTATGAAATCCCTGGTATGTTAAGCTTTATTATTACATAAAAAATGGAGTATGATAATGAAAAAAAACTATTCTGTTGCGATCTCTTCAATGTTCCTGTATGAAAAAGCGTGATTAAACCGTAAAGAATGCTCAGCTTTTAATTGTGTAATTTATAAAAGAGCTTCATATACTTACGAATATTAAGAAGGACACTTTACCTTAAATTAGTAAATTTTCCAGAGAGTTTAAGAACTCAGTATGATAGCTTATTTAAATTTTAATGAACGTTTTTATTCTGTTGTAATTCATTGCACAAATTTATCCCTAATTTGTATTTATTTTTATTCAGTTTTGAATGAAAATTTTATTATTTTGAATGATCTTAGTTCACATGTACTTCTAAAATATTTCTTTTCCTCTAATATTTTTTGTTCAGTTGTTTTCTTCTACGAAATACTTAGGAAAGAATCAAATGAAACTAAGACACAGTGTCACTGTATCTTCTTTTAAATTGATTAATTTCTACGTATTTCCTCGAAGTTCTGTTTAACTTCCAGCTGCTTTAATTATTTATTGTCTATGGAAGCGGCGTTCTATATATGGTTCAGTTTCCTGGTTGGTTTACATTTTAACGTCATTAAACCAATGGCTAATGATGATTCTCAAAATAATACTGGATTATGATGGAATAATCGAAACTAAAAAAAATGTTTGCATTAGAAGTTAAGTGTAGGATATTATAAAAACAAACATTGCTTTCAACTACCAGACGCCTTTATTTGCAGTAAAGAGTGCTTCCTAGCGAATTTTAATATCTATTTCCACTCTCAAGTAGCCATTTCTGAAATTGTAAACCTCAAACCATTTCATATCACTTTGTACATTTTCTGCTAGCATATCTGAATTTACAACTATTTGAAGTAAACATGTTATTGAAATTTGTGCAATCAACGATAGATCGTGTGGAATACACATCATGCGAAATATAACAATAATCATACCTAATGAACTAATGAAATTAATGATGTCATTATCGTTTTCATAGCATGTCGTAGCATTTTCAAAGTCTCTTAAATTTAATTAAGAATTGATATAAGAACTCTAAATGTGATAGTATGTTGTATTTTTTGGTGTTTATTTATTTAGCTGTTTTTGCACGACATGGAAAAAGGGGCGAAGTGTTGTTGACATGGGAGAGTTGGAGACATTCGATACTGGTTATCCATTCGATTATTATCGACTGGAGAGTTTTTTTAGTGCAGAACCAGACAGTAGAGAAGAAATTGGCACAGAGTTTAGATTTTTCAGTCCAAAGAATAAAGATATTCCGCAATATGTCACTAATATGAATTTTTCCTCCTGGGATGTGAAGAAAAGTGGCTTCTTCCGCGGTTGGAAAACATTTTCCCTCATTCATGGCTATAATGGAGGCAATTCAAAATGGCAACCGGTAAATAAATTTATTCGACTTATTTATTTAACAGTTTATTGTTTTGTCATTTTTTTTCCTTTCAATAACTTTTAGTTCACATTTATGCCATCATATTTCATGCCTTTGCCTGAAGACGTCTTCATCTCCAAAGATCTTCGCTTAGTAATTCTATAGATAAATTCCGCCTCATTTACATTATTCAAGCCTGATAATCCCACAGGTAAATTCCACACCAAAAGTCATCGAAAGGATTTTTCACCTCCCTGGGGTGTGACTGGAGGCAACCCTCGGCGTTCTGGCTAAGACCTGTACTTCCACAGCCTCAGCTCCTGGAGTACTAATTTGTCTTCGCAGGAGTAGAGTCTACGTTTCTTCGGTGATCAGTTCAAACGCGCCAGGCAGAACGGTACTGTCAAGTCTATTTGGGGCTGAGTGATTGCTACATGGTAGATATTGTAATGGTTGTCCTCGAGGGATTGCCTCCGTTGGTCGGCTTAGGGGTACTCACGTGGTCTGACGTTGCCTTAGTTTCTTCGGTGATCAGTTACTGCCTGGTCGCGCCGTGGAACATTTCCAGAGGTTAAGGCGCCACTGAGTGTTAAGGGCTTTTTTACAGTTCAGGTCAGGAAGTCTCAACCTTCTAGCGTACTGTCCTCCTGATTTTCATTAAACCATGATTCTGTTAAATTTATTAAGGTAAGTGGTCCATTACTAGAAAACAAAATTAAAGCTTCACGCCCAATCGGGCGTTTTTTTCATTTACAGGCACATGCACGTTTCGAAAGCATTTGGAGTAACACCACATTGTGCTAAAAATATTTCAACACGGCATATTTTTAGAATTTTCGATAGGCAATCTCACGTTCTGGAGATAAAAATGTTTTATTTCCTACAGTGTTGTCATAGCTCACTTTGAAATCCTTGAGTTTGTTAATCAAAAATTAGTTCAAGTTATACAAAATATGAAATCGAAAATAAAACAAATTCCAAACAAAAAATTTTAAATGTGGGCTTCCAGATGCCCATATTTGCAGGAGGATTATGTTATTCAAATTTTGATGGCTCTTGGTACCGTTGTTTTATCACAATGCGAGAAACATACACACATATATGCACATTCTTCATCATTTAATTTCTTTAAATATAATACAGTGCGATAATATTTGGTGACAACAATTTGAAAAGTGAAACAACGCAAAATGCCAAAACCAAATTAATAGTCCTTCGGGGCAAATTGTCCCTTTGGACTTACCCCCAAAAGGGCGTTTTCTGACGTTTTGTGTGTTCATTTTGTCTATTAATATCATGTTATTCGTGCTTAAACCACATAAGCTCAACAGCAGTATCACAAAATATTTTAAAAAAGCATATCTTTATAATTTCCGTTACACAGTCTCGCGAGCTGGAGATAAAAATATTTTACTCCGTACAGTGTTACCATTAAGTTTTCTTTTATTACCATTAAGTTTTTCTCGCCTTTAGACCATTTAGTTTTTTAAACAAAAGTTCGCTTAAGTTCTACAAACTATGGAATAAATATTAAAATAAATTCGAAATCCGAAATTCGAGCGTCCAGGTGCCCATATTCGAGTGGAGGATAATGTTATTCAAAATTTGATGGCCCTTGGTACCGTTGTTTTTTTTTTCACAATGTGAGAAATATACATACATTCATTCAGATTCTTTATTATTTAATTTCTTTAAATAAAATGTAGGGCGATAATATTTGGTTGCAACAATTTAAAAAGTGATTCGCCATTTATAGTGAAACGCCACAAAATGCCGTTTAGAGGCTAAATAGCGCTTCTGAGCTAACGCTCCTTTGGACTAAAGAGCCATTTCTGAGAACTGAAGTTTTAATTTTTCCACTGAATATTTTTTAGATGTCCTTTCCTCAACAGCTTCGAAATTTGAGTATATCTTTAGTATTTGAGTTCTAGTTGTGATTTTATTTATTTCCGTTTATAGAAATAAAAATAGCTCAAGATACTCCAGTATTCCTTTCATCCGCTCCAAAAGAATAGAAAAGTCTGTTCGTTAAAGCGTAATCGAAAGAGTGGTGTTCAAACTACACCAAACTGAGATTAATATTTGCCCAATTTCAGATTTCAGCAGGCTTGTTGCTCTTCCAAACCAATGCGGAATTTATTTATATAACTATATTTTATGCATATAATTTATGCATATGTGTTATTTTTATGTATGTAAGTTTTACAAAATATGAAATTCTTATAGTATTACAAAGTATGGATATTCTTTATTCTAATACAGAATTTTTTATTCATATTCTTAATTCAATAATTTTTATATACATAACAATTATCAGTTAATTAATTTTTATTTCCTCATCATTATAATTTGCTATCTGAAATTTTTAATATTTTATATTAATACTCACCTTTTAATAGAATGGCAAGAGCTTATAATTTGCTATGTCGTTATTTACAGTGATCGAATACTATTTTCAAATACTCATATTCATATCTTTAAAATGAACTACAACCATAGAATAAACTTATTGTAATTTTTATTTTTAGTTTGCACAAATTTTCATTGTCCTGAAAGCTATACTGCTGTATGTTTATTTCTACTAAATTACGGATTATTTTTAAGTTAAAAAGTTCCATATTTAACTTTGAAATTAATGTTCACTACATTCTGTGCTGAAAACCTATACGAGTTTAAAAAGGTGACAAAAGTATATAATATTTGGGCTCCTAAAAATTTAATTCATTTCAGAATAAAAATTCATTTGGAAATTTTCAAATTATGAAAATATGTGTTATTCATTCCTGCGTACATATTTATGGATGTCTATAAATACAGATTTTCGGTAACATTTATTTCAAAAATAAAATTGAACCTTTTCGCAAATAACATATTCACCAAAACATTATTTATTTTTTGTAACAAAATAAATAAATAAAAAATGCTGTATCTGCAGCTGTATTGTTACATACAGTAAATACAGTTAAACATAGGCAAAATCCTACATTTTTTCATTTTATGATAATATATTAAGTAACTTTCATGGGTAGGATTTAACTCACATTTTTCTTTCACAGAGGCTGAAAAACGCCTTGTTGAATAAAACGAAATGTAACGTTTTCATTGTCGACTAGTCAGAGGGTGATGGGCCTTGGTATGAGCAGGCAGTTGCAAATATACGAGTAGTAGGTGCTGAAGTTGGTCTTTTCATAAAACGAATGATGGTAAGTTTTAGCTACTCAATTTTCCATTGTAATATAGAGAGAATTAAATCTCATATCTTCAGTCTTCTATAAAATTACAGAATCACAATACTTGAATTTATTTTCCGTTCATAAATGATTAAACCTCTAGTACCAAAATTTTTATGTAACCACGTAGTTAATTTGTTCTTTCAAGAAGCGAAAAGAAATAAATGGAAATAGATCACACTCATATTACACATTTTAAAAAACCATGAAAACTAAGCCCATTCGATTACCATCCAATTAGAATCGAACTCCCAGTGTTCGGTAGTCTTAACCACTCGCTACAGGTGGGGATCGAGAGCAAAAAAAAAATCTTTCTACGCGATACTGCAAGAAAATAGATGATATTTAAGGTTCTTTGGCTACCTTATGACTAAAGAAGAATTTCTACGATCGGCAATATTTGGAAACCGATCTACTTGTTAGACTGGGATAGGGTTTAGCCCAGGAGGCCCAATGCAACTCAATTTCGTTCACAAGCCGAAGAAGGAACGAAATCTTTGGTTTCTCAATGTTTATCTCTTTACGAAAAATCGTAATATTATATTACACACTCTCATACACACACACACACACAAAAAGACTAAAGTGTCATCCAGTTAATATTTTTTGTTATTCATATCTTAGATCGTTTATATAATCTGTTAAATTTTTAAAATGTTATGAAACAGAGGTAGAGTGATACTGGAAACAAAATTCATTGGGCAAATATTCTTTTACATTCTTATACATAACTTCAAAGTTATGTATAAGAATAAATTAGACTGAATTGTGAAAGATATTAATCCCTTGTGCAAACAGATCTACTTCAAAAGGATGTGAACCGAATTTTGTACTAATCAGCTTTTCGTTTCTATGACTATATCATAATCACAATTATATGATAAAAATCTATTTTATTAATTATTATAGATTTAAATATTATATTCTAGAACTATTATAAAATTTCTCACCATTAATGCAATATAATCTGCTCAGTCTAGGGAATTTGAAATAGACTTATTAAAATAATGGCATTAGATTAAATCTATAAATTAATTTTTGGTTTTGTTTCCGACCGAATACTTTCGTTTTGATATCAGGCTGGCCAATTTTCTTGCAATATAGATACACTAATCAAATACCTTCTGTTTATACATTTCTTTCACCCAATTTTGATACGTTTGTTTGAGCTTCAAGGACAATTCTTTTTTTTAATTATTTTTCTGTAATAACTACCATTCTTCTCTCCATAAATGAATAATAATAATAATGCTATCATTGGTGGACATAGCCTACATTACGACTAAAATGATAATGGACAGAAACTGATATTTTTTGCTACGGAGCATAATATAATAGTGGTCATTGTGGCACTTTCAATCAGAAGTGTGTGTGACATGGAATGTGTGACCATGTCTCAATTGACACTAGACATGCCTCAGACGTACTGTATGTCAGGTCATACACTGAAGCGAATTCTGACTCAGTCAATGACTTAGAAATGATGAAAATTAGTACAAGAAACTATGCTATGCCCATTTCTTCATTGATTACATTATTCTTGACAAACTAAGATCAGCGGGCAATTTGTCTTATAATGCAATTTTGTACAGTCTGAAATTGCTTCCGGGTGGTTTTGCAAGAAAGTAGGCATAACTGAGCACAGGGCAGGCAAAACTAATCTCAGACAGGGGCCAAAACCCCAAAACAGAGCAGGCATAACTGAGCAGGAAACGTAATATGTTTCTGAAAATGTGTAGCTTATTTTCTACAGATGAAACGTCGTTCCAGGCAGTTACGGGTCAAGTTTAGCTTTATACTCCCGAATGTCCAGGATAAGAGACATTATGCTTGGACAGCATGTGAGATTTTTGTAAAGGATTAGCCCGAGGTAGGCCTAGCTCAGGACAGAGAGGAATCATACATTTTTATATTTCCATCAATCTTACTTTTCCTTGTAAAGAAATCATCTGTGGATTTGTCTGCATTGGTTTCGACTTTCCATCTAATTAGTCAGGTTTCAAGTGCCTCGATGTGGCATTGTAATGCTTGTAATGCTAGACGAAGAAACGCACTTTGTAAAAGGGCTAGTGCGTGGTAGTTTTGTGGAATGTCGTTCACATACAAATTGAAAAGTACAGCTTACAGGAAGCTATATCTAGATACACCGACTACGATAGCACGGAGGGAGGAGTATGTGTTTGAGAAGCAAACCACCAAGTTTCTATCTGTCAGGCAGCATATAATGATGTTCGTAATGTCCTCTGGGAAACCTGATTTCTGAGGCTTTCCAGTTAGAACCTATCAAAAGTTTTGGTTATATATAGGAAATGTCCTGCTGTAAATTTTTCTATAGAAGGTGTTTAGCAATGTTTTCAAATAATTGGTAGAGCTGATATTTAGTGGAAAAGCAGCTGTGAAAACAGAACTGATGGGGAATTATCATATTCCTTTCTTCTATGAGTGTTTATTCTTGATAGAACTGCAGCCTCGACGATCTTGCATTTTGTAGACAACAGGCTTATCCCTAATGCCCGTAAAAATCAGGGATGAAGAATTAGATGAGAGAAATTTAACTGCTAACTCTTAAATGAAAACCTATAAAGCAGAAATACCAGAATGAGTAGGAAACACAATTAAAAATCCTCAAACTGGAAGAACTGGAGTATATAGCTAAGAAATGGAATCCGTTAAAAATTATTATGACTGAAACTGGTAATAGAATCTTGGAGCAAAGAAGGGAATGAGTGACGGCTGGTTTGATCAAGGTGGTTACAGCCGAAAACATCGCAGCAAAAACATCGCAGACGAAAATGTCGCGGAGAAAACAAGGCAAGGCGAAAAGTTCGTGCTACGAAACATCGTGGGAAAAAACATCGCAAAGAGAAAACATCGCAGTTCCAAAACATCGTGGTACAAAACATCGTCGTCGAAAATAAAGCGGTTCAAAAACATCGCAGTTTAAAAAAACATCGTCGTCGAAAATATCGTGATAAAAAATAAAGTATCTACAAATCATCGCATGACGATAAAATCGCAGACATGCTTTTTTCAGGCATGCGTTAATAAGTGTAAATGGATATTCCCATAATGATTTGTGAGCGCAAGATGGAAAGAAGGATAATTTTACTTTCATATTTTTATTAATTAATAAATTTTGCTGAGAAAATAAAAAGGAAACTTAAGCATAAAAAATTAATGCAACTTATAGCACTTATAGAATTTTAAACCGACATAGTTAACTAAAAAGGCCATTATAAATCATTTTTATAAAGTTTTTACTGGTAATACTCGTATTTCATGAAAAGTGTAATCTATAAGTTACTTTAATTTTCTATGCTTAAGTTTCCTTCTTACGTTTTCAGCAAAAATTTATTAGTTAATAAAATATGTGAAAGTAAAATTTATCCTTCTTACCCTTGCGCTCACAAATCATTATGGGAATATCCATTTACAATTATTAAAACCTGAAAAAAGCATGTCTGCGATGTTATCGTCATGCGATGATTTGTAGATACTTTATTTTTTACCACGATATTTTCGACGAAGATGTTTTTGAACTGCGATGTTTTTGAACCGCTTTATTTTCTACGACGATGTTTTGTACCACGATGTTTTAGAACTGCGATGTTTTCTCCCACGATGTTATGTAGCACGACGTTTTCGTCTTGCGTTGTTTTCTCCGCGACGTTTTCGTCCACGATGTTTTTGCCGCGATGTTATCGGCGGACACCGATCAAGGTATAGGGCTGCCATGACCTTAAAACTAAGGCATATAAGAATATGCTTAAAAGGAAACGTACTAGATCAGTTGTTGACGAATATAAATGTGTTAAAATGATCCACCGTGATAAAAAGAACCTTCATGAAAATATTCTATGAGATGTCAAACTTTAATAGAGGAGTAGAGGAAAGCAGAGCTTTCTCTCATTAAATGAATCATGGACGGAGAAATTTTAACGCTAGGACAACACATTCTAGAGGGAAAGTCGGTTCTATTTTAAGTGACATTCTACGGAGGTGGAGGAAGCATCTAGATGAGCGGCTGAATTCCGATCTGCATAAAGAAAATAGTGAAATAATAAGCAGAAACTTAGGGCCTATTGAGTCCCTTCTCTGAAAGAGGAAAATCATGCTACAAAGAAGTTAAAAACCAATAAATCTGTTGGCCAGACAATATTTCTTCAGAACTATTAAAAGTTGCAGGCCATTGTTGCGTTCTACAAATCAGGGACTTAATTCAACTCTTCTGGAATTATGAGAAACAACCGGCGATTGTAAATGCGGCTTTATTAAAGAAAGATCGATTATGGAGCAGATTTTCAATCTAAGGCTTTTGAAAAATGCAGAAGTGGTGGAAAAGAAACACACAATCATTTTACCAGTTTCGAAACTTATTATGATTGTATTAATAGAGAATTACTTACTGAGACAATGCGGGAACTAAATATTCCAGAAAAACTTGTTACACTGGTGACTTCCATTCCTATGGAAACCAAGATACAATTTCGTTTACAAGGTACTTTACGGAACAACCTTAGGCTAAGAATGGAGTGAGATAGGGGATACTCTGGCATATCTTCTGATTAATATTGCACTCAAAGTTATTAGAGATTCTAGAATCAGTACTAGAGGAAATATTTCTAATAAGTTTATTCAATTACTAGCTTATGCAGTTGATATTTGGCTGTTGCCCTTAATGTTCCTGCTCTTAGACAGGCATTCATGACATTGGAAAAAATTGCAAAAGGATTTAACCTTCCTATTAAAGAAAGTAAAACTAAATATATGCCTTGTTTAAAATTTGACTTACCACTTAATCATTTATAAATTAATAACTATAGATTTGAAAAATTCTAGAGTTTCACTTACCTGAGAGCGGAGATGAGTTGTAAAAATAAGATAATTTCTGAAATGCTTAAAAGAATTTCTGCTTAAAATAGATGTTTCCATGGCCTGAAGAGCTATTTAAAATCCGACTTTATCAAGTTAAGAACTCAATTACTTCTTTACAAGTATCGTATAAGATCTATTCAGCTTTATGCTTCGGAAGTTTGAGCAACAACTTTACATGATGAGGAAGCTTGGGTGTTGCATACTTGGTGCCTTGTGAATGGATAGTGGAAGAGACCAAATTTAGAGCTGTACAACCTGATGTAGCAAAAGTGTTCATACTACAGATTCTTAAATTTTCTGGTCATCTGGCCAGAATTCACGAAGAATCTTTCTGTAAGAAAATCTTTCTGGCAAAACCCATGGGAACCAGACTTTGGGGTAGACCCCCTGTGAGATGGACCGATTGTGTTCAATATGACCTAAACATTCTAAAGAGCAAAAACTGGAAAAAAGTTGTCAAGAGTAAAGATGCCTTATTATACCAAAATTTTAAAATTTCAAAATGATAACAAAAATGAACTTTGGCGAATTTCTTATAAAACTCATGCATATCAAAATGAAAGAACGTCTTTTATAAAAAAAAAATAAATAAATAAGAAAGCTGTTTTAAAGGGCAGAAAAACAGTATTCGTGACCTTCAGTCGAGAATTAGGTAGTTTTCGTATTCATTCAATTATCTTCCCAGTTTTTTTTTTGTGCTGTTCTAAATTTATATATAATCCTATTCATACTTTACCCCGAAAGGTAGCGTAGTAATTTTAGAACTTTGTGCATGCATTTTGTGCTCTCAAAGACCGAAGCTTCTTGAAGCTGTTTTGACAGAAAATTCTGAGAAGAAGATTTGCTTTAAAACAACAGAAATTTCAAATCAGAACTGCTCGAAATTTCACTCGAAGAATGCTCGAAATTTCAAATCAGAGAATGAAGCAGAGAAAGCTGCTGAACGTCAACAATCCTGTTACTTTAAAACTAAACTTTCGTAATTTACGTTAATTTGTTTTTATGTTAATTATGTATTATTTATGAATAAATATTTGAATATCCTGAGCACGGTCAAACAAAATAATCTCAATATGAGCAACATTTTAGGATCTGTGTGACGATTTTATTATACTCACTGTGAGAATAAACTTATGGAGAATTTTGTGTTCTACATCTCGCAGGTGATATTCCTAGATACATGCAAATATTAACCGAATTGAAATGGATGTTCTTAGAATTTGCTGTTAGATTTTTACTGCCGCATATTTACCAATTTATATTATCAAGCAATAAAATCAATAACAGACACTGTAAAGTCAAAGAGGCAAAAGTCTTTCCAAAATTCTTCGAGTATTTTTAATGGCAGCTATTCTTATGGTTCGCTTCCGATAATATATAGGAACTCATTCTTAAAGCTTTTCAAACCGCGGCATTAATGTTTAAATTTGAGATCATTATTCTCTTAATAAGATTATATTGAATTATATATATATAATTAATAAATAAATTGTATGTATTTAAAATATAAAAAATACGATGGCTTTGCTCTACGCGAACAGGCAACCTCTAATTAACTTTCTGCAATTTAGGATCTGCCCCTAGACCAGTACCTTCGAGAACATTTTAGCCTATTACGTAACAGCTAGTATAAATAACGAATGCGCGCCATTTTATGAACAGAAGCTTTCCTCTCGCTGTGGTGTTAAAACCTATGCTACTGCTCCCATCTTCCTTTCCTCTACGATGCAATAAAGTTAAAGTAATCTTATTTAGTAACGAATATTGATCTGGCTTCTGAAACTGAAATAAAGCTATGGAATCGTAAAAAGGGAAATCCTGTGTCTTCTTTGGATACCGCCTTAACACTATGCTATAGAAAATGCCTGGACTTTGATGGCAAGCCTCGATTCATGTGCCACGACTGCCGAAATATCACAGCTTTATTAATTAGCCATCAGGACATTCTGCGTGGGAAAGAGCTCCTTTGGATTATTTTAATGCGCTTCTAAATTCAACATCTACTGAAATGTGTTTCAAGGACAGTGCGTCAATCATCTACTTACTCCCTGTGCTTTGCTTTCGGCTACGCAATGAAGTGTTTCTCAAAGTGTACCGTGGTTCAGATTAATATTTGGGTGTAATGCGAAAACTTTTTAGCGTTGATTTCATATTCAAGACTGGTGTTTCCAAATTAAATTTTGTGTAAAATATTTCTTGGTGCTTAAAAAATGAATACAAGATCCAAAACAATGATGTCAAATACGCAGGCATCAATAGGCACTGTCGACGCAGCAAAATTTCACTTTCCAATCTTTGACGGATCAAAAAGTAATTTTCCTATAGACAATTACCTTCTGCTGTTTGAGCAAAAATGTACTGCCAAAAATATCCAGGATAAAGTAAAACCTTCATCTTTTCGTAATGCTTAAGAGGAGAAGCCCTGGCATACTTCTTGCGAGAATGTCTAGAGAAAGATTGGGAAGTAGTAAAAGACAATTTCCAGACGTACTTTTCCAGCGCAGAGACAGTGACCTTTAATGATTTTGTGTCTATCACCTAGGTAACATTTAATAATGTTGACCTCTATTTTCGCAACAAATTAAGATTTGCATTTAGTTTGAAGTTAAATGATGCTACAGCAGTTGAGGCCCTCAATCAAGGTCTCCCGGAATGACAGCGGATGCTGCTCACTATCTAGAAACTAAATATACCCAGAGAATAGATTGAAATTGCTTGAAAACTTTTCCCAATTTCTTTTTTATTCAATTTACCAATAGCCTATAGACTATATAGATCCTAAAGATAATAGCGAAATTAAAAAACAAATACATGGGTTGTTAAATGCTGGAATCATTAAACCTTCTTATAGCCCTTATGCTGCTGCTGTAACTTTAGCTTATGGCTTATTTCAATACCCTTAAAAATATTAAATGGCAGTTTCACGAAGAATCTGTAATTATTGCTCAGAGGCAAACTGTACCCAAGTATTTTACCCGGTTTTTGCAATCAAATCAGTATAGGCCCCTGCCTTTTCTATATCCGTACAGGCCGGTAAGTTATCAACAAGGGCCTTCCCGGCCTTTTCAATATCTGTACAGGCCGCTTAGTTATCAACAAAAATCCGGCTTTAAATTATTATAATACAATGTCCAAAAGTGAACAGAAAAAATGATTTTAATGCCCGAATTGGGCAACTAAATTTTCCCAGCATCATCGATACTGGCTCTCAGGTAAATGTTTTGCCATTTAATATTTTTAAGGGTATTGATAAAACTTTTAAAGAAATCGAAGATAAATATAGTAGTAAGTTATTTTCTCTATCTAGTCAGATTCATGTAGGAAAAACTATTAAAATATCATGTAAAATAGGCAAACTCACTAATGATATAATATTTTATGCGGTAAATTCTAATTTGAACTATTTATTATTATCCTTATGTTGTGTTTCATTGTTCAAATTACAATTGAATTTTCATAATTAAAGTTTATCAGTTTGGAAAGCAGGTGAGTAAAAATGTTAAATTATGTAAGTTTTTTCAAAATAATTTTGTATGTAAAAATGATATCAATGCTAAACAACTTAGTAAATATTTTGAAAATAGTGAAAATTTTGTATGTAAAAGTGATATTAGTACTAAAAGTTCTGGTAATTATTTTGAACATAGTGAAAATTCTGATAGTAAATTACGAAAATTGTTGAATAGTTATAATCATATATTTGCTAAAAGTAAATATGATATTGGTTGTATAAAGATACCCCCCCAGAGTTGTATTAACTTCTGAATTACCAATAGCCTATATACCATATATATCCTAAAGATAATAGTGAAATTAAAAAACAAATACATGAGTTGTTAAATGCTGGAATCATTAAACCTTCTTATAGCCCTTATGCTGCTGCTGTAACTTTAGCTTATAAGCGTGATGAACAGGCAAAAACTAGATTGTGTACTGATTACAAAAAGCTTAATCAAATTATAAAAACTGATTCTGAGCCTATTCCTAGAATTGATGCTGTATTAGATCAATGAACAAATGCAAACATTTCCTCTGCATTGGATTTAGCATCAGGCCATTGGCATTAAAGAAGAAGCTACTTTGACTGGTAATTGATCAAATTAATTCTATCAGTATTAGATTGGTTCCATGAAAATATTAGCTTAAAAACTAGCTGGTATTTAAGTAAATCGTTCGACTTCTGTTTAACACTTTAAATATATTTATATTACCTAAGAAGACTGAGTTAAAACGTGCGAAGTACAAGCAAAATAATAAACAACCTTGCAACTTATTTTAAAATGTTTGATGTTTCCATTTTTAGTTACTTCTAGTGCTACATAGTTATGTCACTTATTATGAGCAGGCCTTCTTACGTTCTAGATTATATAATGTCTTATCTACAATGTCTCTAATGTACGCGAGATGCGAAGTGTAATATGTTTTTTATAGTCTTACGTTTGGGTTTACAGTTTTTATCATAAATGTTGAAAGAAGAAGTTACTTTTACTGGTAATTGATGAATTAAATTTTATAAGTACTAGATTGGTTCCATGAGAATATTAGCTTAAAAAACTAGCTGGTGCTTCGAATGCGTTTGTTTATGCATTCAGTAACTACGCACTTTCTATAATCTGTACCACGATGTCATGCACCTCATATGCAGATATTTTCAAAGATATTTTCATTTACATTGAGTCATTTACAAATTTAACAGAAAATATTTTAGCCTGTTTACACAGTATGTTACGAAGCAAATTATTAACATTTCTTATTATTCATTACTGATAGTGATTTGTATTTTTGTTATTATTCTAAAATACAGTAACTATGCTTACAGGTTACTAATTTTAAACAATGTATTTAGGATACTGTAAATTTATATCCAGATCTCGTGCATATCATTGGCCATAGTCTTGGCGCACATGCATCGGGATATGCTGGAAAATGGCTTCGCGACAGGCAGAAGACAATAATTGATCGAATTACGGGTAAGGTTTTTTTCTACATTTAATTTCAAATTGCTTGTTTACTTACACACTTATATCTATCAAAAGAAACAAGATTTATAAAAAAAAATAATTACATATGATGCAGACAAATAGTATAATGAAACAGTATATACTTGAGAAACATATTTGCAAAGAGAAACAAAATTTATAAATTCTTAGGCTTAGTTAACAGTAATCACTGACGACTTAAAATTCTTTAATAACGTTCATATATAAGAACTGAGAATAAAATCTTATGAAATAAAATCTACCTTTAAATGTTGAAAAAAATCAAGGAAAATATTAGTTTTTTTTTGTGAGATTTAGCTCTAAATGTGAATCTTAGTATTAGGGAAAACATCATTATATTCCTACTGAAAAGTAATATTTAATACGAAAAATAAAGGAATTTCACAATAACGAACACTGTTTTAATATTTAAATGTGTAATCAGCCTTCTCTAAACCGGCATTCGCTATTCTAGATAATATTAACTTCTGTAGAAACGGTCGTCTCAGAGAAGATGGTTAATAGTGATTTCGATTTCCGATTTGCATAATAGCTGTAACATATTTAAGGCTATTGGTATAAATAATATTACAGTAAAATTTCGATATGTCAGTTTATTTTAACGTTTAATAATTATTCTAAAAAATGCTTAGCGCATAATATAATTAAAAAAAGAACTTAAATATAATTTTATTTTATTTTCTGAAACAAAATAAGTAAATAGTTTGGAAAAATAAGTCAATCATTTCCTCAAACTTAGTAGACAGATGTCATCACAGATGCCTAGTAGACAGATATCTTATAATAATTTAAATTATTTAACCTTCCAGCACGCGCGCTTGGCAATTTGACATGAGCACGCGCGAGTCATACTTTTTACGACATCCGTTATTTTACCGTGTTTGGCACGAAAAATGACAGAAATGAGTGAATATTGATAATAAATTTGTTAAGAAATAAAATATTAACCTTATTATTTCAAAATGCAAATGATATCACATTCAAATATAAGTAAATTATTTTTAAGTTTTTTTATTAATAGATGGAAATGCAATGATGTATTTCATTATAGAAAAATTTAAATTTATTATTTAATAATTACATTTTTAAAATCGAAGCTAATTATTCATCAAAGGCAAGTATAGACAAATAAAAAAGGAAAACACACTCACCTTGGTAGGATAAAAAAGTAAGTTTAGCATTACTTACTTCTGCAAGGAAATTTACTTCTTACTAATTACAAAAACGCACTTTAAACTATAATATTTTTAATTTTTTTCTAAAGAATCGAAATAAAAGAAAATAAGGAATGAAAATCGCTATCGTTCTCCCATCCAAAGCTTTCCTTGTCTTACGTTTCCTCATCAGATAATTCTTCAAGAATGCGAGTAAAATGCACATATTTTTTGCCATGAAAACCGATATAAAAATTAGAGTCAAATGCATAAAAATTAAAATAATACACGGCATTAATAACACAACATTACAAAATATTTGAGAAAAAATATTTTTCGAATTTTCACCCACGACCACGCGCTTGTCGTAACTTTTACCGAAAAGCTGCCACGTAGTACAAAGGCCCCCCAAAAATAAAGAAAAGTAAAATGACATACTGTTGTTACATTCCATGATGTGGGGAAGGGTAGAAAGGAGGAATAGAGATGATCTTCAGATGTCTCAGCTTCGATATTCGAAAAATGGGCATTAAAAACAGAATTTTTCGCAAACGCGCGTGCTGGAAGGTCAAAGGAAATCAACCATCTTTGTTACAACTTTTTCCAGCAGCCGTCTATTGGACTTTTGGACTATTGGCAAGCAAGCCGTCTATAAGACTTTATTGCTACTCTCCTTGCCGGCAAATATCAGACCAAAGCTCGAGAGGGTCTTTGCACACAATGGAGTGGACGGCAATGAAAATGCAGACAAAATTGCCGAACTGGCAACCGCGGCAAATACTTTACATGTCATTCCCAAGCTGCACATGAAAGCAGCCACTATTGCCATGTCCATTACATGAGCTGCTTCGCTTCGGCTTCCTGGACACTTTGCAGTGTATACTTGGAGGGATCGTTATAGTTTTGACTGCCCAGAAAGAAGCATTTATCATCTTCGCATTCTATCAGCTGGAAACAAACAAAATACGAGTTCAGATGTATCTGGAAATTCACTGAAATATCTCTTGGGATATTCAAACGACTAAATAACTAGACAGCACCCTACCATAGCTAAGGACAGCAACAGTTCAGAACCGTTAACTCTAGTGGACCAATTGCCAAGTTGCCAGACGAAAGAAATGCCATGAACTTGAAAGATACACAATATGCATATTTTTCAAAACAGTGCTATATTATATTAGCGCACCAGACGTTTTTTGAAGTTCTTTTCAAACTTATATCTTCAATGTAAATTCGGCGTAACAGTATTAAATGAAGAATAGATTTGAAAAGTGCATTAGTGTTGGAATATAATGGTGTATCATAGTATTGTACTAATGCTATAATTGTATCGCATTGCTATATCTGTGTACAGATGCAACAGTATTTTGGTATACAGAAGTGCGTAATATTTTCAAATGCTTATCCAATGAATAGCGTTATATATTGTAAAGTGTTATTTTGTTTTTATATGTATAATAGTTTATTGCCATATTTCTGTTTTCAGATCAGAATATGAATATGTTTGTAACACTATTGTATTTCTAGAACCCCGAAAACGACAACGCTGTGTTTAAACCAAAAACCAGCACATGCACTACCCTTTCAGCTTAAGAGTTGTACAATCAAAATAGAATACTTTTAACTGCATGGCTAATTTCAGTCCTTACGCTTTACTTTCGTTACCTTTTGATGCTATAAAGGCAGCTCCCATCAGACGTGTCTCCGGACTTCTGAATTAAATTAAAATCGCTGGCAGGTCTTAGCAGACTGATAAGCATCATCCTTTAAGTAAACCAACTGCTTTGTCGGGGGAGTAAAGTAAAAAGCAGAGATAACCGAGTTGTACAATGTCTAGCATTATCCTGTTGGATCCTCTTGGATGGCTTGCCATGAAGAGCAATGCAAATGGCCACAGATCTCATCAATATATAGTTAAATTGTTAAAGTTGTAAGCAGGATGATTAGGCTCAACTTGCTGTCATATGAGACAACACTTCACACCATCACGGCAGAAGTAATAGCTTTTTTCCTTTGTAAAACTAGAGCTGATTGGAGCCGCTAGTCCCGGTCTCTTCCTACGCGTAACCGATGGTCATCTGCTCCAAACTGAAGCGGAATTTATTGGTGAATACTATGCGATTTCACTATGGTAGGAATATGTAATGGGTTTGTACATACATATTCCGTTCTTCGGAATACGTATGATATACGTATTCCGAAGGATACGTTCTTCGCATATTTGTCAAGCTTTGGATGAAATTCTATTTTTTTACAATGGAAAAGGAGCAAAAATTCCCAGAGATCATTGATCCTATTTGGATGTGTGATTTAATGGTTTTCAGCCATTTAACAGCACTATGTAATGGTATAAATTATAAACTGCAAGGCAAAAAACAAATTCCGAATAGATTGTTTGAGATCATAAGATCTTCAGAGCGCAAATCTGACCCATTTTTTTAAAGATATTGAAACAAAGAAGGTGAAATATTTCCCTTCGCTTAGAATACACTTAGAATTAATGTTAAATTTTGATGCTAAACTATCGTCCGAATACAGACAAAATACATTTAAGAGATATTTGATTATTTTAAAACACTGCAATTTGTTTTTTAAGATTTCACTTTGCGAAAATAGGTGATCTTAAAGTGACGATTTTTTAGTTGTTTTATACTTACAATTTGGAAATGAAACTGACAAAAATTCGAGGTCATTCTACATGGGTGAACAAATTTTTCAATCTTGATGAAGCATTAGAAGAAGTGGACTGTGCGAATTCCAAATATTGCATCGAAAAGTCAGAAAACTTAATCCTTTAACGAGGTATGTTTTCTCACAACAGTTTTCGGCCATGACAAAATTTGCAATAGCACAGTTTACAATATTTGGGATTTTGCGGGCAGCTGTTTTTATCAATGAACTCTATAAAATCTACTGAAAGGAACCACTTTGATTCAGATTTAAGTGAAACTTGTGTGTAATTAAAGACAACAAGTTATGATCAAAATATAAATAGCATGGCTAATAAGAATAGACAACAGATGTCGCATTAAATGGGATTAAATGCACGTAGGTTTTGAATGTAATATTGTAGTATTTGCTTATGAATCCATTTTAAATTAATGCATTTTGAAAAGCGGAAAGTGTATTAAGTGAAGTGTCTTAAAGAGAATATAATTTTAAGTGAAAAATATAGACAATTAATAATATATTTTGAATTGTATTGATACATCTAATTTTTCATACTATAAAAACATAAAAAACGTCTAACATTAATAACATTTATTTTATTTTTTCACTTACAATAAATGGGTGTCAGATTTAGTATATTTTTACATTATCTTAATATTAAACTGAAATATTTATTTTTAAAATACTGTTTATTTAATTCAAATTTCATGCAAAGTAATAACTGAACAGCAAATATAGTTACAAAATATAATGGGCTGAAAGTATAACAGTCTGAAAATTTGTCACAGTCGATAGCCTGAAATCAAAGCAGGGCATGTCAAGGGGATAAAGATGAATTTTAGAAAGAAATATGACAAATGGCACACTGGACACCTGAAAATAATTAAACGTAATTTAACCGGCACACTAATCGAAAACGGTTCGCCATCCTTGGTCTAAATATTCTAGCTGTATAACTGCGCTTATCGGGTAACCTACGTGTAAGTACTTTCTATGATAATATTTCAGGATACGTTTCGTTAGTTTTTGGCCAGCTGTCAAAACTATAGATCTGATCATAGCACAAATGTGTCTGACTCAAACTTTGTCTGAGGATGAAACAATTTTTATCTAAAACGAAATAAAGAAATCTCAACTTATTTTTTGACATGAGAGATTTTCCTGTTTTAAGGGATACAATTTACAACGAGAAAACACAAAATTGAACTCTAATAAATATAACATCTTGAAAGTTATTTAGTTCTTCTGATGTTAGTGGTTCTCTGTGCTGGTCAAGTAGGTTTCCTGTGTTACGTATAAACATGAAAGCAAAGCTTGAAGCTCAGATTAATTTCAAATAATTATTTGCAAAATTCATGAGATTGCCTAAGACATCATTACTTACAATCAAAATCAATACAGTGTTCACAGAAGGTCGGGATTCATTTATGTAAAGATCATCTGTAAAACTTGTCATGTCTAACTTTAGCTCACATATCTGTTGTTGTAAAAACTGTTGGTTGTTGTAAAAGCTCAGCAAACTATGATATGCTCCTAGTATCCAGTTCAAATGAGATTATATCTGCAGAATTATTCTCAGAGGGTACAAGCCTCCATGAGCTCGGTGTTCTCTGTGAGATGCTGAATACTTGAAACGCTGTTGCTTACAAATGTCTTAATTCAATGAGGATATACATTGATCAACTTAAAACGATATTGGAAACATATATAAACGTGGTCAAATCGTAATTTCAGTAATGACAGAGTCCTTATAACCAGTTGGGATAGAAGAAAGCAAACTAACAATTCACGTTTGAGAATCCGCATTGTCTTGATTGGAACAACCCACAATTTGCTGCACAAAATATGTCTATATACAGGCTTTTCGTTCGAAATAGCTTGAAGTTAAGCCGCTGCTGCCATACGCAGACTGAGAGCAATCGTGAAACAACTGAATGATAATTTTTTTTAATATAGTTGCTTACGATTATGGGAACCAGACAAAGCTATGCCATTCAAGAAATGTTGGTTCTTGAAGTGTTTTGTGCCAATTAATTAAAAGTAACCACAGCCATTACATAAATAATTTAGCTCTGGTAATGACTGTTCTAACTAATCTCTAGAGGATGGTAAATGCCATCTATATATGACAACACTACTGCTCTGGTGTACGTGCTGCCAGGTTCGATGGACATCTTGAAATATAAAAATGGCTGTGTGTGTTGTAAAATAATTTTCAAACTCCCCTTGATTTAATTCAGGCTTATTGCCGTGCTCTTTGTGTAGTTTCCCCATGTTCAAGCAATCAGGTGAACTCTCTCTGAAGACTTAAGTAAAATCTGAAATGCCCAACAAGATATCGTCAATGTAGAAGTTGGTTAAAACTACGGATGAGAATATAGGAAAGTCTTTTTAATAAAAGCTATTTGGAGAAGTGCACACTGAGCTAAGAAAGGAGAACATTCTGATCCATACGTAATCGTCTGAAGAGAGCAGGCCTCTATGGAGAGTCAATACCCTTCGTCTAACGAATTCTTTAAAGATCAACTTGGAGCAAGTCAATTTTAGTTTTTAGGAGAGCGACTTGATACTTGCCAGTTTCAATTGTCGAAACCAAATAAACACATAAAGATGCTTTTTAAACCTTAACCTGATAGAGAAAAGGTCTTCTTGTATGTCACCTTCCTTCAGAAGAATGTCATTGAGGCACTGATTACTACTAATTTTTGCAATAGCATTGAACACCCTACTCAGTCGAGTGGTGTTCTTGTCAGGTCTGTAGATCCTGTGATAAGATAGATAGTAAACTGCCTCCGAACTAGCTTCCCCTTCATTCTTAACCACAGGACTCAAACATTCATATTCATGCATACAACCAGTACAGAACGCTTTCATTGTTCGATTGGTTTCCAGACGTCTTCAAAGCTGATTTAAGAATTTTGAAGCTTTGGAACTGCCCATAGTTATGTTTGTTTAACTATCAAATGGCATTTGTACGACAAAACGACCATCTGGTTTTCAATGGTGAGTTTGAGCAAAGTCATTTGGATACCGCTTTACACTCCCAGCCACGATGACTGCAAGCTGATTACTTTTCTATGTTCCCGAAAATTTTACATATATATATATAGCTAGATAGGTAGGTATATGTATAGACACACGTACAGATATGTGTGCATTTATGTATTTTTTTGGTAGGTTTGGATCCAGCAGGACCCTTTTTTAATGGAGTAGAAAGGATTGTGAGATTAGATAAAGGTGACGCCAGTTTCGTTGACGTCATACATACAAACTGGGCAGGACATCGCTTATCAGGTATATTTGTTTGCTTCTTTTCTAGTATCATAATAATAAAATATTTATTTTTACCTGAAACTCTTTCTCAACAATTCTTAATAATACGCTTAATTCTAATAATACGCTTAATTCTGCACAGTAGCTTCATATTGTTCTCTCTGTGTTTTTAAACACTTGTTAGATGCATTTAATAGTAGTACCTGTAAATTTGAATTTTTAAACATGATTAAAGGATTTTTAACATTTTTAACATGAAATATGCGAGTGGTTCCTTCTTTCACGAGTGAAGTCATCCCTAAAACAAGCCTGTAATACAAAGCTTTCTTATAGTAAAGCAAATTTCTGCTTAAGAAGCATTGGAAATTCAGATGATTCATTCCACATCCCAAAAATATACATATAAAATTATTAATATAACATATAAAGGAAAAATACATGAAACAAATTAATTTACCAAAAAACAAAATTATGGTTTACTAACAAAAACATTGCTATCAACTTGCTCACTGAAATGTTATTCTTCTCGTGCTGTACTTTAACTAGAAACCTATCCAATGGCAGTTTCGTTTTACCTCCTTTGAAGGATTTCGCGGGATTTCTTCGTCTTTCTTCGCCTGCTTCTCAGATAATATCTCCTTGCGATGCAGATCCATAGGTTCATTGGTGCTTAGCTCCTTATCTCGTCCTTCCACCACCACTTGAATATCATTCTTATTTATACCTAATTAATAGTCTTCTCCGAAAATGCAATTTCATTATAACTAGCTGCTTCTATTCATAAGCAAATATCTTAAAATCATGCCCTGGAACATAATAAAACGACAGTTTTCTCGAAGCAAATTTGAGGGTTCTTTTGGTAATTTCATCTCAGGCCTTTTGTTGATCTTGATGTTATTCTTGCTGTATAAATGACTTTATAACGTTCTGTGGTAATTAAGTTTGTCTTTGAGGTCACCTCGAATATTGTTGAAGTACAGCTTTGCTGTAAATGTTTTAAAACTTCGAAACGATCTGCCGATTCACATGTTGGTGTAGTGAAGTGGCGTTGTGAAGAACGAAAAAAATGAAATCGAATTTCTAGAAACTTTCTTTAAGTCTTTGAGACTCAATGGGAACATTACCATATCTAACAAATTATCGATTAGCAGATTCCTTTCTGAAAGCTATTTCTTCACTGCAGAATCAAACGTCTCATTAATTCACTCAGCGAACAAGATACGAGCGATCCAAGTCTTGCTGTTGAACCCCCATATGACAACTGACTGGCATTTCTGCACACTTTGCACCCATTGAAGGTTCGTAGATTTACTGTTTATACAGTTGAAGGGGTTGACTTTGAAATCTCTGGTTGTATTATTATCCAACGGAAGAGTGAGACGGCCTTCATAGACTTATGTCAAAACATTGCATTCTCTTCTACTGCAAAATAGGGCATCATAGCATATATTTCGATAATAGCTATCTCTCATCTCAATTAAAATTTTGTTTTGGTAAATAACACTTGTAAAACATGAGCTTCTGAATATTGGCGGAGAATGCCTCAGCTGTCGTAGCATCAAAACTTTTTAACTTCACAAAACAGTGGATGCCGCTTTTTCTTTTAGAGTTATCAAACAACCCCTGATTTCCCTGAAGATGTTTTTGTTTTCTAACAGTGTACTTATATGTATTTTCTCCCTCTTTTCCGCATGCCTTCGTAATGTAATTGGAAGCATACTTGACGCGCATTCGAAAGGTCCAGGGTTAGAGTCCCAGGAGGGGCTGCACATTTTTAACCTCTCCTGTTTAGAAAAAATGGCTCTAAACGTGGCCCGAACTAAATGGTAGTGGATGAAAATTCGTCACAACCAGGAGTCATCTAATCCCCAGTGGTCCTTTAGAAGGAAGAGTATATAAGGTGTAGGTTTTATTTTAATTTTCTATATTTTGAGGGGGAAAAAACTTTTCCTTTACTTCTCATTTTCCACTTAAGTCTTCTTACCAGATGAATATTTAAAATTGCGTTTTACGTAAAAGAGGTAGAAACAAGTGTTTATGTTGAAGGCCTCGGTCACTTTATTACAAAAGCTTAGAAGCGCTTGCCTGCCTTCCGGCAACGTTATTGCTGCTAGTCTAATCTTGCTACTACTCGGCCATATAATTACGTGTCTGCTAGTATTCGCTCGTAATCTTCAATAAGGGTTAACTCTGTTAGTTAATTCTGTGCAGCTTCGGTTGGTTTTATTGTATTAGTATTAGTTTTGTTTCTTATTTTCTATCTTGAGTTAAAGCCTAAGTTGAGGCTTATCTTAAGCCCCGAGTTAAAGCCTAAGTTGAGGCTCATCTTAAGCCTTTTCGGGCGGATCATTCGTTAGTTATTTTGAGTTAGAATAAAGGGTAATCGACGCGTAATTGAGAAGTCGGGGGTATGAGTTCCGTGGAGGGCACTGCACATTTTTCACGTCTCCTGCTTCAAAAAATTCTAATGACTCTACATACGTAATAGTTTATTTTGGAGATAGAGATACAAATCTTTTCTCTGCTTGAATATAAAGTTCTCACTAACAGTATTTCCTGCTCGTTCTTTCTCGTTCATGCACATACTTTACTTCTTTCGTTTTCAATATTCCCAAACTGTCGGCGAACTTTTATTACAAAATCGTGTGTTGTCAGCTATTTGCATAACTCTCTTGTGCTCCTCGAAGATTTCTTTCTCAATTTCCACTAAAATTACTTTTTTATAGCTTTTCTTGCCCATATATTTTATTTCATGAATGCAAATGTTGTAGTGCAACCAAGCTTGGAAGACAATTACATGCAATCCAGCAGCAAGAGAAAACATACCTGCTCAATTGTCACATGTTCCGTACTACTCATACAACAAGACCTTTATTTTTTTATTCCCTCTCTCTCAAAATACATGCGGACTGCTAAGTGCACAATTTAAGGCTTTATTTTAAGATAGAAGTTCTAGATTTCTGACTGAAGCACTGTCGAGTATTTAACTCTATTTAATTTACTGTAAAAAAAGCATTTGCTGCAATGCAATTGCATTATTTTATTAATTATTACTGTAAACCATTTAAGAAATTAATGTATTACCATTACAGAAGCTCCTAGAAAATATTGCTGGACTATCTTGAGAAATTATGTAGATAGACACATAATTCCAGTTTAAGAATAAAATAATAATAGGTAGGTTTTCAGCCATCGGCAGCTTTACTAAGTAAATAATAAAAACGTATAAAACTTCAAATCCTTATACAAGTCCCTTAGGGGATAAAATCATATATCTTATTTAAATTACTAAGCAAAACACCTCGTTTTGGGAGATGAAAATGAGACAATCTTAATTTAAAGTCTCATTTTGGAGACTGATTCCTGTACAAATTTTATTGAAGGTAAATCGTAAATAAAATTTAAATATTCAAACTTTTTAACTCAAATGTTATTTTGTTCCATATAGCATAAATATATAAGAATAAAGCATAAATATTCTTATTCATCTTTTGATCTAAGCATGCGAATTTTCGATTAAATCTTGATAGAGTACTAATAGTTTATGTATAATATCTAACTAATTTTTAAATAATTAATTGTTATTTATTTTTGATTAAACATTTTTGTCTATACACGTATGTATATTTGCATGACTGGGAGGAAAACAAAAAGTAAACGTCACCAAAGTTGAAAAGATACGTTTGTACTATTATTTAAAAGCAAATTTAATCAGATTTAAAATAAACTATCATTGTGTAATTTCTTTTATAGGTTATGGACTAGAAGAAGCTATTGAACATGTAGATTTTTATCCGAATGGAGGCGAAGATCAGCCTGGTTGTGAAACAGCATTAGAGGCTACGCTTGGGGTTGTAGGGGAAGCCCTCAGCTACATAAACGGTTGGGCTTTGGTTTATAAATATGCTACGACAGGAAGTGTAGTTCTCCAAGGTAAAATATTATTAAAGTTTACTTATTAATGTTCTTAAAATTTTGCAGCTATTAAGTAACTTTTGAGTTGTTAATCTGAATATTAAAACATTTCAAATTTAAGCAGATAAATAATCAATCATCTTTTGAAAATAGTGAGTCTTTAGTTTTGCTAGAAATGTGGAATTAAATGTAGGCTTTGCATACATAGATTAATAAAAGTCATAATTAATTATAAATAATATTAAAACTTTTGACAAAGCCATAATATTGGTCGTTTTAAAAACCATATGTTACTAAGAACTCCACGAATCGCAAATTCATAGCTGCTAATGTAGCAGCTAACGTCTGCATTGCATATCAAACGTCTGCATTGATAGCAGCAACCTTTAAGTTCCAAGTTTTATATATCTTAGTTTCAATTTTCCCAAATGTAAAAAAAAGATTACATTTTATGAAAAATTTAATTTCGAGATACGTCTAAACATTTTGTATCTATTAATTCATTAACTATTCTCTAATATATGGAGCAAGTTCAAACTGTGAGAAGCTACCAACGTTATTACCAACATCACTCGTAACAATCATTAATTGTTTGTTATTTATTTTAAACGTGCCATTGTTTCGATTACAAGACATGTTAGTAATGTGAAACAGCCAGTTCACCAACGGAAGCGGATTTTGCGGACGAAACTCGGAAGTTTTTAAGTATTTTGCATTATCTTTTAGAGATGCGTGCAAGTAATCTAACTTTTGACTTTCAATTAAACTTTGGTTGAGCTATTAACTCCTTAAACTGATATTTAAGTAAATTCCTGTCTTCAAATTTTTGCGCAAATATTGGTATTAGAATGGCTGGCAATCTAACAGGTCGAAGTAATTCACTAGAAGAATTACTCTTTTTTTTAAAGAAAAGATTCAAGGCTTGCTTCTAATTGCTGAAAGCTTCGTTAATGCTTCAAAGATTTTACTCTATTTCTTCTAACTCTTCTGCAGGAATAATAAGATAATATTCATGCTTTAATTCTTCGAATTGATTTTCAAACTTTTCTAACACTGCTAAGAGAGCACCGATTATCGATTCCTTCTGCAACAGCACAAGCTAATTTCGTTATCTGTCCTTTAATATTTTCACTTCTACTGTTTAAGATAGTTAAATCGGAGGATGCAGGCTGAATCACAAAAAAAATTTATAAATCGACTAAAACGAAATATCCATAGTATCAACAAAATGAGCTGCTCATAGGTGATGATTTGACTCTGGTTCGACAACCCAAATAAATGCAGAATTAGCAATCTGTACTTGATGAACAATATCAATCCTTCTATCAGGATCAGTGGACCTGTAGTATAAGATAATGAATGAAGCTAACAGTAACAAGAAAATTTAATGAGAAATGAAACAAACCAAATTTCAAGTTCCCGTCGAGGAAGATACAAACGCTGATACAAGAAAATGGTTTCATGTTTATACAATAATTTTTGAAAGAAATATCAAAGTTGAGCAAAGCAGATAATTAAACCTATATTAAATTGTTGTGAATAAATAAAAGCATTATTGATAAATCAAATTCAACATCGCGCGTAAAAGCGATATTAATAAAATTACCGGCAATGTAACGGACATGATGTAAATGTATTTTTTTTCTTTCTTAGCATATATTTTTTATCTTTGCATTTTTCTGCTTCCGAATTTCAGCAAATAATATCTATCCTCTTGAATACTGAGTCCTGGTAAACGGTTTGGAAAAAAATTTCCTATGCTTGCATTGAACTTTTCTAACTGATTTTTTGCACACATAAATTGTTCCTTTTGCTCTAATATTAGGTATTTAGAATTGGTTTGTTCGGCTTAGAATTTTATACAGCAGTCTTCGTATATTCTACGCATACGATGCTGATATCCATCAACGTTTAAAAAAGATTTACCATTTCTAGGTAACACTAGCCTAAAAGGTTTCATTCTGAAATTTTAAGCAAATGCGCTGACTGAGTTTCAAATTACTTTCGGATGACACAGTAAGGAACTGTTCAGTTTGCACTTATACACTAACATTTCAAATTTAATTTGACCAGATGAGCAAATGACCAATCATTCACAATGACATGGAGGAGCTCTAAGAAGCGAAGAGAATTTTTTTTATAAACTCTCATCTTATTAATTTCCTGGAATTCATAAAATGAGGGAGGATTCGGTTTGGAAGGGGCTAATTGTCCGCTTCGTCCATAGATTTTGGATGATTCGCTTCACTTACGTACCGGTTCCACGTAAACACTGCAGTTTTAATAAGACGTAACACCACAATTAGTTTTTTTAATATTAAAAACATACGGTGATTTACAATTCACTCCGTGATTTCAAAATTTTATGGTATAATAGAAATGCATTTTTCGTAAAAATCCATAATATATAATTTTAGATATAGCCGCTGAGGATTATTTTTCGTTGAAGGACAAACATTTTCGCGTGCACTCAGATATACTACAACAGCTGTTAATGTCACGTTAACAGAAAAACATTCATCTTCAGTACAAGATGTATCCTGCCCTCCAAACTTTCGAGGAGAATTATGCGCTCTGTTAAATACTGAACATCTATGGGCGTTGGAATAGTCCTCCTCCTCGAGATGTCTTCCTTCTTCTTCCGTAATCTCCTCACTCTGACCCAAGCTCAGGTGACTTTTCCATGTGACTTTCAGTTAAAGATTGTATGTTCCTTTTGCCAAGTTATTTCACATGACAAAGAGACGGAATCCCGCATGCAGTCACTGGTATCAATCGTGATGTACGGGGAGGAGGGTAAATTTTGGTTTGATATTTGCCACGTATCAGTGATGTACATATTATGTATCTGCACAGTACATACTAAATATAGAAACATTCTTTATGTTCTGATTTGCCCAATTTTTCTATGCATGTACTGTATTATAAATTCTTGAAAGCCATGAAGAATTAATTACTAATTACCATGTACAGCAGTTAGGCGTGATTACTGATAATGGCAGTCTGAATGTAATATGAATTCTGGTGGAAACAAAAAAAAAAAAAAAAAAAAATGTCTTGCCGTGAAGATGTTTATTAAGTTTCTCAATATTATTTTATTTTAATCTTTCTCACTTTTGCGTCTTTCAGTGGAGAAGAACGCCCAAGATATGTCTTGCAGTCACGGTAGAGCATACGAATATTTCATCACCAGCTTAGAAGAACCCGAACGCAAATTCCAGTCCTTGGTTTGTAACAGTTGGGATGCGTATGTAGATGGTGACTGCGGCACGTGTGAAACCTATACTTGCATCAACATGGGATATTACGCTGATAGGCATGGGTACGGACTTGGAATGAAAGGATCTGTAAAATTATATTTGAGAACCAAAGAGTCAGCTCCATATTGTATGGAAAAATAATAGAAAGATTAATAATTAAGTTCAAAAAAATAAACCCTTTGAGATTTAAGTCAAATAAATCCTGTATGTAGTGACTAATAAATTTTGAAATGAAGAGTAAGTATACTTGTTCCATTCATATGCTCCGTTAGTTTTTAATAGACTAATGTTAGCCGAAAGCAATAATTATATCGTATTTCAAATGAAGATAATGATACAAAAATAATTTGAAATGCAATAAATTATCTAAAAGTAGTTTTAAAAGGAAATAAGCAACTACTTAACTACATTTAGGCCTGAAATTTATCGTCAAATTATTATGGTAATGATCTGTCAGTCCCGAAATTAAGAGGCGTAACACTCAAGTATATTTCCTATTCATATTTTTTACTAATATTATTACTATTGTCATTGAAGGGTTAATGAATTAAAAGCTATTTGAAGTTTTATTGAGATAAGCTGAGTTAGAAATAATAAATTAATAACAACTTTGAGAGTGATACGGTTGTTTTTTTTATAAGAAAGAGGGAAAATGAGTCCAAACAAAAAATAGTGCTACGGAGCACAAAGAAAGATGCTTTCGAGCATCTTTCGAGATGTATAAGGAAATTATAACTCTAACTTGTTGATGTATAAGGAAATTATAACACTATTATGCAGTTTGAAATGATTTCATAATAAAGTATAGCAGACTGCAGTTTACCTTATAGCATACTTGAGTAATTGGCGTTTGCTCCAACAGTTGCCCAGCGGTTAAATCCACTGTTAGTTCCACCAGGGCTCGATTCCAGGCAAATGTGCTGCTTACATGGTTGGTTTCCTTAGGTCTTTGCTTGCGTAACGTGAATACGACCTAGCGTTTCACAAAAAGTCTTCCATGTATAATATTATTTGGATATGTATTAATGTGTAATTTTTAACTGAATGCTTATGCAGTTTTAGTAAAAAAATTGTAAAGGAGGTTAAAATTAGCATATTTTGTTTCACGGTGTGTATGTAGGCTTTATCATATTAAATCAAATGGTAAGTCCTTGGTACACCTTTTTTAAGTCATGCGGGAAAGCAGCTTTAAAATATTGGCCACTCTGCACTCTGCTTTACGTGAATAGGTAGGTAGGTGATTTACGGAGGACTGGAACGCCTGGTGTCTAACAGAGGTAAACAGGCTGTGTTCCAAACCCTCCTCTAACTACGGCAAAAGCTTCCTGGAACCACACGAGGCTGCACCAGGAGATTATTGAGGTTGTCAAAGGGAAGTACATGGCCTTACAAGGGCATTAGTAGGATTGTATTACAGTTTGAAGAGGAAAGCTGTGGTGTTACAGATAGTAGGTAGTTAAACTAAAAATACTTGGATAATAAGACGCATTAAAAAAAAACATAAAAATGCATAGGCAACAATACACAAAGCACAATGCGTAAAATGCATAAACAGAGAGCACAAAGAACAGGTGCACAATGTTAGTGTAAGGCAGTTCTGTTGGATATAAGTACAAGTACATCTTGAATGATGAATGATGAGTTCATGAATACTCATGTGTGCAGAAGAAGAGTGCGGTTAGATTGCTAAGGCGTTGATTATTGTAGCATCGCTAAGAACATAGATAAAAACACTGATAAAAGGCACGAGAATGTTGTAGCACTAATTATTGGGCAGTGCCCCAGCAATGTGTGCACCGTGAGGCACACAAGCGTTCACTAACACTTCGTAAGAAGATGTTGTTCACATGCTGTTGAAGGGATTACACACGTATCATTATGGAGGCATAACACATCTCTCTAAGGAGATGCCACATATTTGCGAATTGTTAGTATTGCCACTTTAGATTGTGGGCAGGGGAGCTTAAACACACAGTTGTGGTGAAGCCCAGATATTGTAAAATTCACTGGACTAGTCTTAGAGCTTATCGTCAGTACACCATAGCGTCATTTTAGCACAGTAGGCAAAGGTCTGTGCCCAATGCCGCGATGGTATTCATGATGCTGGAGATTGAATTAACCGCTCCTCTATGCGTTATAAGGAACCGGTGATAGGCGTTCCTATTATTTGTAGGTAGCGGAAGATGGTGTGCAGCCGTCAAAGGACATTCAAATACGTAATGTTCTGGTGACCCTTCTGATCCACAGACACAGATATCTGTATTTGAGATGCCGTGGCGATTGTAATAGCTGGGAAACGGGCCGTGACCCGTGATGAAGTAGGTGAGAGGTGCTACGGCAAAGAGTCGATCGGCGGAAACTTTCGGGAGGTAGGTGAAAGTCCGTCTGCCTGTCTCGCATTTGGTACACTCACGTTGCCATTGGTGCATTCCTTGCTCTCGTAGGAGGCCCTTTAGATAAGAGCAGGGCGCAGGTACGGTGATGGAAATTGCATCTTTGGCCAACGTGTCAGCAGCCTCGTTGCCCTCATTATTCGCATGGGCTTTAACCCAGACTAGATTGAAATGGTAATGAGGGTGTTGTATAAGGAGATGTTGGAGACTGAGTATGAGAGGTGAGACATGATGATGGTTCTCAAGTGCAAGTAAAGTTGAAAGGCTATCGGTATAGATATTTGCTCGTGGGATCTGGCAATCTATGAGATGTTGCACACTGCTGCCGTAATTCCCAGTTTCCGCCTGGAAGATGCTATTGTGAGTGCGAAGTTGTCCTTGCCAGTCGTGTACAGTTTTGCCATTCTCATAGTGCACAAAAGCACTGCCTACACCATTCTCCTGCTTTGAACCGTCTGTGTAGAACCGTCTGTCTAGGATTTTCACATATCCTGTTGGTTTTAAATCTGGAGAATATGGTGACCCCTTCGTTGGATTCCTTCACCCTCAAGATGATCTAGTGCAAAGCAATAGGAGTGAGCATTAACATCCATTAGGAGAAAGTCATAATCGATTGCACTGCTAAGCAACTTGAAATGAGGTTTGTGAACCTCACCTCCATATATTTCAGCATTCACAGACGCACTTAAAAATTGTGTAAGTCAGTGCGGTCATTTAAATGATTCCTGTTCATACCATGATTCCACCCCTTTTTACAAAAACCTTTCACTGATGTTTTCAGATTTATTGTGTTATGTATCTGAAAATTAAGTGTTTTAATACCTTTTTAAAACTCTTAACTTTGATTCATCTTATCTCAAGGTGCCGGACACACTAACTCAAAAATATATATTCATATGAACATTCGTATAGTGGCAGTACAATTTAACTTTTAGGTTCGCGTTTTGAGTAACCTACGCAAAAGGAAATATTAATAACCCAAAATTCAATTAAACTCCATGTTTCTTAAAAGCCTCCCGGCTCAAACAAATGGAGGGACATGACAGACCACAGTAACTTATACACTAAATTAAACAAATGAAACATAGAATATATATCAAACACATTTATTAATTTCTAGAATATTCAAACATATGATAACTAGGTAAACTGATCAGTCCCCTACCAATTAACCTTAAGATGTAAATTAACATATATATCATTTCAAATCTTACACTCATGTTAAGTGTAGGTGTACTATTTTTTTAACATTACATAACTCACAATTTAGGTGGTTGTACACATTTTCTAATTATTCGTTTACAGGTATATTTAAATAACAGGTATTTTAATATTACAGGTAATTTAATATAACTACTCATTATTTAATTCTTCTATTCACTTCGTTTACACGTATATTAATATAAGTATCATTACTCGGTAACAGTTTAAATAGAAAAGACAGAAAAATTCACTCACAGGGTGAAGTTTATCATCAAACTCCTATTTTCTCGCGTGTCATTATCGACGGATAAATACGGAGTTTTAAAGAGTTCAACAGATCGTCCAACTCATTTCGTTGACCATTCGAAGAAATCCACAAAACATTCACTACATTCAGGAACTACATGCACACTACATTCAGGAACAATTCAACCAAGTCAAAACCCGATGAAAGTACTGGTATCAGGCACTTTTTTTTTAAATCAGGAACACTCTTAATCAGGAACGCTAACTGTTCAACAAAATCAAGACCCAAGGAAGACACAGGTATTGGGATGCTTCTTTTAAATCCGGAACAGTCTTTATCAGGAACGCTTCAATCAACCAGGAAAAAACGCCTTGAAAGGACCCAAACAGGAAAGGCACTGCATCACCCTGAGAATCTGCATCGCCCTGAGAATACATATTTACAATTCTCGGAAAATTATAATGGAGAAACGACGATGCTATAAATTTTTGCGATGAGTTCTAGCGCCTATTTTTAAATGTAATTTCTCATCTGATCAAAGCCGGGAATCCATAGCCGCAGCCCGCTGGTACACGCCACTCGCTGCAAGGCAAGGCCGCAACAGGGCAGACGTCCCGATCTTTTTTTTTTTCAGCTTAACTTCACATCGCAGGACTCAAATCAGACTCCAAATACGACGCAATAGCCGACGGTCGCGAGAGCAAGACCAGCAGAGGTCAAGCCCCACTCCTTTCTCCTCTTTATTCCTTTAGCTTGAAAATCAGAATCCGAATCATCAACTTCTAGCCTCGGCGCAAGCACCTAAGGAAATCTCGGTTTCCTCTCGCACTCCCGCGAAAATTCCATTGGCCTTACCAAAAATCAAAAAATTAAAATCTTAACCAATGCCGGAAATTTTACGTTTATCTAAACTGAGAAAATTACACAATCCCACAGACGAATCAAAAACCAGAAGAATCTGACAATGCAGTCCGAAAAAACATCTCTACACATAACGTGAGAAAAGTGGACCCCTCAACTAACAAGCGGAACTAAGCTTTACGAGAATCCAATTACCAGCCACCCACACTGTCTTGAAGTAACAAAATTGAAATTGAAACTATAACAAAGCGAAAGGAAGACGATTTTGGAATGTAATTTCAATAAATCTTGTTGTATTCAGCATTATTTACGATCTTCTGTTTGAAAGTTGTACTGACATTTACACTAATAACAATAACCCAATTAGTCATTTCACTCGAGAAATGCAGTGAATAGGTCAATTATTTACATATTTTCTTCTTTCAAAATATATTAACGGTTTTTGATTTGCTGACGATTAAGGAAGTTAAGAGCTGTGAGTAGACCTATTTTAGTATTTCTAAAAAAAATTACGTTTGTAAAGTCAGATTATCAAGA